TCAACAAAACATTAGAAAAATAGCTCACATCCAAGCCTACTCCGAGTACTCACCGCCAGCGAAGGTTTTCCGTCTTGAAATGTAGCAATCCACTTTTTCGTGTAAGCCCGATAGGTTGCAAAACTTTATATTTTGATAGTACTGAGGGCTTGCTCAACCTTTTTAGCAACAGTCATGTGTAAGCCCGGGCGCTTTTTTTATAATGGGAGCAATGCCTCTGAATGTCGAACGCCTCACTAGTTGAGACATAGCTGAAAAGATCTAGATCATTAACAAGGTTTTTTTTATGTAACGCGTAGATTATTTACTATTTGTTGTTTGTGTACACAAAAAAGATTGGACTACACCTGCTCACGACCTTATAATCCGGACATCCCGCTTCCATGTTCCGCGAACCTATTCACTGCGCATGCGCCATGAGCGCCGTGTAACGCGGCGCAGCACAGCTGTTGAAACCACTTTTCACCCCAGCTGGGGTGAATTTAGTGAATTGTTGGAACTCCGATTTCGCGGGTTTTTTTCTATCGCGTTATTTTTCAACTTTATAAGTTGAATTTGCATTTTTGATCATTTTTTACTGTAAGTCCATACCGAAAGGTATCAGAATCTGCAAAGTTGTGTTTTACGTTGCATGTGACCTTTAAGTTATACATTTAAAGTCTCTGGTACTTTCGTTTCATGTTAATCAGCGTGTCACCAAACATCACTGCTGATGTCCACATTGTGATTGTATAAAATGTAATTGTTATATGTCAGCTCATTTATCCTGTATACCTCTTCAGAATGGCAGATATTTTGCTATGATCATGAAAATGTTTGTGTTCATTAGACAAGATGCTGCATTGTACAGTAAGTGATACCACCTGGATAAAACCGGAAAATAGACATGGTACGTTGACAAAGATGTTCAGGAATGATTGCGAACTTCACGTTGTGGGACCGAACAATCAACAAGGTATGGTAGCGGAAGTAATGAGTGAGTGAGTTAATATGTATCGTCACATCGGCAATATTTCAGCCCTAACATGACGAGAACAATTAAGTATCAGTAAAGATCAGACATACATACAGACCGACAGTTTATTCAGTATTTCAGGCCAAACGACTCATAGCACACTTACATACTTATCACGTTTTACATATATATATGAATACATTTTTAAGAAAACGAGCAACAGAGGTAATAACATCTTCATTCGTTGAACTTAATAGATTTATCATCCAATGTTGATCGTTTTACAGTGTACATACGTTTGAAAGATATTTATTTCGCAGGTCTCGATAGTGCTTACACACAAGTGACACATGACATTCATCTTCGACCTGGTTGATATTGCATTTTACACATAAAATTTCACTTGGATTCAAATATTTACTTTTTCTCTCAGAGTTTACATTGACATCATGCAAGGATATTCTCAGTTTACAAAAAGCTCATGTAATACAATTAAATATATTTCTGGCTCTAATACCGATTTTACAAGAGCATAATGAGAAAGATATTTGGATGAGTGTACATGAGAATGCCAATCTTGGTAAAATATATCTATTAGTCTTTGTTTAAGAATGAAATTAAACATATTTTTATCACCGACATCCTGTAATATCCAAACATGAGAAAACCACACATGAAAAATGTTTTATAATATCAGACACCCAGCTATTTTTACCTTTGTCATCTAATTGTTTTAACATAACATAACACTGATATGGGTATCTATAAGCATCCACACGTATTAACTTTATCCAATAGCTGACTGCTCTTAATTGTGTTGGAACAAAAAAAGAATATCTACCTGTTTCGCCAAAAATCGCTTTGTTGGAAGCATGATATTAACGACACGTAAGTATTTCTTAAAATATAAAGTTTGAATTTTCTCTATAGAGTCATGATATTTTACACCCTATATTTCAGAACCATATACAAAGGGAAGTAACTCGGTGCATATACTGTGGTTTCAGCAGTACGAACGTTCACTATCGGAACGGGTTTTTTTAAAACAAAGTGTTCGTATTAACGAGGTCTGACTGTAATAGAATGGGTGCAATAGAAGAAGCTACATTAAATGATATAAGGTCATTTTGCTTGAACAAATTATAAGCAGGCATTATTGCTTTAGATGCGGGAAGTGCTAATGGCTTACATGCTGTAGACCATACTAGTCTAGAAGACATCATAAATCCTAAATACTTATATGAAACTTTCTTTATAGTTGTATTACAATACGTCCATTTTCAAATCCATTTACAATACCACCATTTCTATAAACACTCACATTAGATTTATCTAAGTTCACCGTTAAGCCCTATGTGGAACAATAAGACTGTAATACATTTAATTGTTTCTGTAAGCCACTAACTCAATAAGATAGCAAAGCAATATCATCTGTAAAAAGAAGCATTATGTCTACAATTTCCCGAGAAACAAATACACCATGATCACAATGAAACAACGAGTTGTGAGATATATATGGTTTATGTTCAACCAAGCCTGTAGAAATCTGTTTCTTACATCGCACCATTTCAAAATCAAATCGATGTGTATTTTCCCAATTCTCATAATCATGAGACATGTGTTATACATCCAAATGTCTGACGTGATATGCTGGTGAAGTGGTGCCTCACTCGGAACGTGAGGGTTCGAATCCCATATGGGACTGATAGTACCAGCATTTGTACTTGAGTAAGAATAATCATGTGTTAATTCATGTGTTACGTTTTACGTGTAAAAGCTTTGTCTATCATACAGTCATTCCATGTTTAAATGGATGATAATTGATATGTAGTACATATTTGGTGTGCAAAATACCATAGCACTTAAATAAGGGTACATGTATATTGTGTGTATATACGACATCGCGACCTTTAATGATGACATTCCTCCTATTATTTTAATGAAAAATTATGTTGTATATGTCCAACAAATGTTCACAACTCGAGGTTAAGTACGATTTCCCATAGGTCACAATGGGTCAATCTCACTTACTCACCACCCTAAAGTTATGATGCTTGGCATTTAACATATGTTCCTCTTTTATAGGTCTCAGAGTGACGAATCCAGACATATGAATTCACGATTGTGCAATCTTAAACAGCAGTTTTTGGCTGGCAACATGAATGTGTATGCATATTGTGACGCAGTTTCTCATTTAACTGAGTATTGAATTGTATGAAATGTATGAAATGTGTTAAATGTGTGAAATGTATGAAAATGTATTTTCTACATGTATTTGTCACACCTTCTGAGAATCACAATGATGGAGGGGATCTTATTTCACGGGGAGCAAAATCTAAGGGACATCTCTTGTGTAGCAGCTTATTCTGCTTCAGTGATTTGCCCACCTTGAACAATAGGTGGTGGGTAAACGAGAAGACCCCGTCAGAATTTGGTTATATTTAATTTATGTTTTTGTTTAAGGGCGCATTACCACTACAGTATACACCAGCCTTAGTTTCGATAATGTTACGCACTGATTATGCGGGATACCAAGTGCTATGATTCAGGTATGATACAGTGTTTGGTTAATTGCTGATATTTGACCACGTACCACGAACATGCAGTTTGGGTGAATGTTGTGAAGAAAACATCGTTAACTTAAATGCTTTTCTTTGTTAATGGATGCATTCCCTAGTAGCATGCATTTAGCCGTGTTGAGTTAAGAGCCTTGTATTTGCTTGTGGCTGTGCATGCCAGTTTCAATGGGGGTGGAATAGCAACACCTCATCAATATTTGTCAGTTTCACCGAAGTAAAGTTTGCATTATTTCATTGTTTTCTCCCTTATTAAAGTGACATCAAGTATGACTGAAATATTAGTCTAAGCGCCGTTAATCATAGTCCCTCACCTCCATGTATTGTCCAAACTACTGGAATAACGTTACTGTGCATTATTAGATGTTATGCCATTTGTAATGCAAAAAGTGGCATGGTTTGTCGTATTTTCCTGTTATTCCCTGTTGACTGCTGACAGGATAATAGCAAAATCTGTATGATTTGACACAAGGCTTCGTGACAATGAACGGCTGCACATGAGGTGTCTCAGACCTGTCAAGTTGGGTCCGACAATGAGATGCGATATCTCCACATACCATAACACTCTCGCCACCAAACTGTCGACGTTGAACACTGCAAGTGTCAACATATCGTTTACATCGCCGCCTGTACACCCTTGCTCTGCCATCTGAGCTGTCCAGTTGAAATCGCGACTCGACAGTAAACAAAACATCATTCCAGTCTTGTCCCCTGTACCGTAGACGCTGTCTGCACCAGGCAAGACGTGCCTGTCGGTTACGTTGGAGCAAAAGTATTGCGTGGCCCATGTCGTTCCCCCTCAGTCGGTTCTGTACAGTCCTGGAACTGATTGGATTTAAGCCAGGAATGGTCCGGGCAGTCAAACTGGCAATCTGGAAACTATTCTTTAGATGGGTCAGCCGAATGTGGTTGTCTTGCTGACGTGACGTCACGCGTGGCAAATCTCTCATGTTCCCATTTTGTTGAACTAGAGATGAGATCGTGTTTCGATGGACACCAGAATGTCTCCAGCATACCTACGGCGCATAGACGCTGATTTTCCGTAAGCCGTGGCATGCTGTACACGCAGTTTAGGTTGAAATTAACGTGTTTTCTAGTTTAACAGATATTTCAAACTTTCACATCTTAACTACATAAAATGTAGATATAAATGTAAAAAACAAACAGTTATTTTTCTATTTCCGACAGTATTTAAATATGAATGAGGCTTAAGACAAGGGGGATATCCCCAAACTTCCCTGACTCCTTAAATGTAAGGTGAGTTAAAGCATGTAATCGCCTGTATTAACAATCTGACTAACATTAAACAAGATATGTATGACATTTCAAAACATATTTACATTATTCACTCAACGCTACACATGTATATATACACGAAAGATATCAACTGACAGTTAGAGGTGTAGAACAAATATGACCTTCTCCCCTTGCCCTACATTGCTACAGTTCCCTGTCTCTTTCAGTGAATATATATCATGGCCGACGACAAGAAGACCTCACTGCGGAATATTGACAGTGTTCTACAACTACTGGGAACATTGGGTCGCTATCAGCTGTTTCAAGCTACCCTGCTAGGTATTGGAAACCTTTCAATTTGTTTCCACCTCCTCAACTTCGTCTTTATAGGTATGTTTATATCATGAATTTGAGAATGGGTACACTGAGCTTTAAGCTGTCGTCATGATCACTTGTAGTGCATCTTTACAAATGTGGACAAAGCGATAGTAGCCGTACGAGTGTCATAAGTGCATGTTAAAGTATGGTCACACTGAAACTAATGTATCCAGTACAACCCATGCAAGTATAGATTTCTGACATCGCAGGTGTCTGAAAATAACGTGAACCACTTTACCCATTTTTATGTATTTTACATGATGTTTAAATAATTTAACATAACATAACATATTTTCTCTTCAAAGTCTATGGAACGTAAAGAAGTATTGGTTTATGTGTTACGCAAACAACAAGTGACACATATTTAAACCATTAAATGTTATCGTATTACGTTCAGATTTTAAATAATGTGAGTGTACATTGAGGTATGTAGGAATACTTTGGAGAAAATGCACTATTTCTTACCACGATGATGGGATTACCAGGTTCTGATATTTAACTTTGAAAAGGATGTGCACTTGCCCAATGTGTCATTATGTCTTCTCTCATTTGTATTTTGTCTTGAGCTATGTCGTGCATGTATAACCTGTACATTGCTAACCAGAGATGACTGCAGATTCTATCCCAGGCTGACTTTGAAATAACCCTTATATTATACCACGTGAGTATCGTATCCATTACGGTGTAAATACACATGTGACACTTTGTTGACTTTGAACGAAATGTAATATATCATATGAATAGAAAACACGTGTGTCTTTTTGTGGGTACTTTTTTCAACAGCTCAGCCCGTGAAACAACAATGTGCTGTGGCGCCGCTTTATGGCCACGACACCAACACCGACTACGGCAAATGTGACGTGTTAGCACGGAACACCACCACCAATGACACGTCAACACGTGCATGCAGTAACTGGACATATGATGTGCCGAAAGATCATTCCATTGTGTCGGAAGCAAGTGATATTATGTTTCTTAAAATATGTTATGATATCAGTTTCGTTTATACATGACCGTAGCTATTTACGACCTCTGTATAAACGAAACATGGCCCATTCTAGTTCCGTGAAAGAAATTAAGTAGTTGAATAGGATAGGAATTGAAAGTGAAAAAATAATAATTCTACATGTCGTTTGGTAATAAGTCTTCATTCCTACAGGGGTTGTGTAAACGGTTCTGAGTGTAACTACTAACAGTGGATAGTACACCCATAACAGTTTGCATGCTCACCGACTGCATCATGCCCATATACATATATGCATATACCACAAAGCAGTACATTGCTGCTGGCATCAAGTTGTACGAATCCAATTAGATCATGACCTTGCGTTTATATATCACAATCAAACAATACCAGGTCCAAGACATACCTGACATTCAAGTGAAACTTTGTGACCAATTTTGCTTGGTTTGAATGTGCCAATACGAGATAAATTCTGAATGATATGGATAGAGACAGTGATGGGACATTACAGGAGCAGACTCGGTCCCCGAAATGATGCCTATATCTTGCTTTACTCTCCTATCACCAAATTGCACACATATGTTTTCTATGAGGAAGCAGACAGTCCACCTGAGTTATCCTCAGATGACAGCTTTCAATTTCTTGATTCTTTTTTATTTCATTTCTTGGCCATAAATGTCACAACATCGTGTCCTGTTAGATGTCTCATGAAAACAACAGATATGTCAGTTATGAAATCTCGCAAATAAAAACAAGATACTTTTCACATTAACTAACTGCAACAAATAAGGTATTATGAACAAAACATTGTTCGCTTATAAACTTAAACTACTCGTGTGAGAGTAGAATATTAAATTATTTTGTTTCAGTGGGATCTTGTCTGTGGGAATGTCTACCTCGGTCGCCTCCCGCAGTCACTCTTCATCGTAGGACAAGGAGTTGGCGCAGCCACGGTTTCGGTGATGTCGGACAAATTCGGGAGGAAGCCTTTCCTTGTCATGTCACACGTGTTGACGGCCGGTGCAGGTCTTGCTTTAGCGTTCGCTCCTAATATTGCAGCTTTTTCTGGTCTGAGGTTGGTGAATGGAATGTTCCAACAGGTAATATTCATATATTCACTTACTCTCCACAAAGAAAGTGCTGATGGTATTATCACTGGTATTATAAACGGGTTTAGATTAACACACAGGAACATCCGCATTACATGTCTATATCCTCAGGTGTCGACCAGTACACTGCAAGTTCTCTTACAATAATTTGTCAAGTGTACTTTACCTTCAGTCACTCCAAGCCTGTGTTTATCAGGTTCATGGAGAGTTCAACGGGAATGTGGTCGGTGGTCATTAATACAAGCTAAGTCAACTTGTTCAAGTAGAGAGAAAGGCAGCAAACCATATCATAATTACCTTAAATTCCGTATCCACATTTACTGCTGTAGGGGGGCCACTAAGGGATCGGGTTGTCTGTCTGTCTGGTTGGCTGGCTTGGCTGATTCCTATCATGGTATCCATTTGACGGTCACATTTTACATATGTGTTCCCAAGTGAAATATGTTTTCAAAAGACAAAATAAAATTACTTCCAAAGTCTATACCTTTGCCTTTTCTTCCCTGTTGTTTGCTTAATGTCAGAAGAAATACTGCCGACTAGACTTACATTAAACTCACTCACTTAAAGTCCAAAGAGTATCAGCTTGATTGCTTATCTGGTAAATAAGATTCAAATATCAAGAGGGTAACAATAACGATATTGCGCTGAATCATATCCAAAAATGTTTGCTTGACTGAAACGGCGTATAAAATATGAAAACACTACTGACAAAGCAAGCTGATAGCAGTCTGACTGACTGAGTTTGGTTTTACGCCGCTTTTAGCAATATTCCAGCTACATCACGGCGGGGGGACACCAGAAATGGGCTTCACACATTGTACCCATATGGGGATTCGAACCCGGGTCTTCGGCGTGACGAGCCTACGCTTATAAGCACTAGGCTACCCCACCGCCCCTGATAGCAGTCACCGCATTAGCTGGGGACATGTGGATATCCGGGCTAGAATTGGGTTTCAGCAACCCATGCTTATCTTAAGAGGCGACTGACGGGATCGGGTGGTCAGGTTGACGCATGGCATTGTATCCCAATTTGGTAAATCGATGCTCAAACTGGAATATTGGAATATTGCTGAGTGCGTCGTTAAGCAACAAACACACAAAGGAAAAGCATTTACTGTGTATGGGAGTATGTGAGGTAGATAATAACTGCTCAAGGTAGTATCCATGTAGAGTGAATTCGAAGCCTATAGCACTTTTCTGTACAAACTGAATAACCTGTAGGGATTATTTCTTAAATGAAGTTCGTATAAAGAAAGGTTGTAGGCTCGCTGTTTCTACAAATCTCATTTTCTTTGTTGATCCAGGGCATTGTTGTGACAACATTCACAATGATTATGGAGGAGTTCCCGATGAACCGGCGGGTAGAAGTATCGACAGTGTTAGCTTTGGTGTGGAGTTTCTGCACAATACTCCTCACAGGGACCGCCTACTTGTTTCGTGATATGGACTGGAGAACTCTGCAGCTCTGTTTCGTGTCGGTGTCCATCAGTGTCCTTCTTCAAATCTTGTGAGTTCAGGTTGAGTCATATCCGGGGAATTATCAGTCTATTTAATTCGGCGACATAACACTCACAAAGGCAAACAATGCTGCGTCCCTAATTATATCTGCTGACGGTGGAAAGGTGTATTTGTTTTGTGGAGCACAGGGATTAACTATCCATGTGATGTATGTTATCGTTCATTTGAGGCCTTTTCGTTGTCCATTGGATACCTAAAACTAGGCCATTTAGTAACGACACATAAACAAAAAACCCAAACCAACCTGGTATAGATATCTCCTTGCGGATTAGAACAGTGAAAACCAAACAAGTTTATTGGGAGGACTAAATAAAGCTATATGAACAAGATACATGTATAGTGCTAAGAATGGTTTTCATTCATATATTGTTGTCCTTTGGATGTACAAGCTGAATCGCCTGTGAATGCGTGTGCTGCTCATTAACATTCTAAGTATTTCTTACAATCGTCTATCAATAAAGAAATATTTGTTTGGGTTTATTCTGAGGCTAAATTCGGACAATAACCAAGTTCCAAGGGAAAGGTGTGAATTCTTCTGGGTTTCATGTAGGTGGAAGAGGTACCATAAGTTCAAACCGTCCCTGGAGTGTTAAACTTACCTTTGTTACTGGAGAAGTCTTATCAAACCGTCCCTGGAGTGTTAAACTGGATTTGATTGATACCTGTCTTGTTACTGAGATGATACAATGGGTTGGCAGAAAAGTCGAGGAATTCCGTCACCGATCATGAAACCTGATTACTGTGTCATAGAAATTTTAATCATTGCCAGATAAGTTCTGTGTCTGTTTCCTAATACACTGAAATTCTGGTGAAAAACATTTGTATCAGTGCCCAAAGTACAGTCCGAAATTTAACGTGTGGGGTGGCATATCTGTGTTAGGGGCAACGCCCCTCTGTGTATTTGAAGGGAATATGAACAGTGAGCGGTACACAGATATTCTCGAGGGACATTTACTTCCATCTGCTCACCTGTTCTATGGAAAGTTTTGGATTTTCCAGCAGGACAACGACCCAAACCATCGTTCAAAGCATTCACAGGCCTGGTTTCGGACCCAAATTATGACATTATTAGATTGGTCAAGCTATAGCCCTGACCTAAATCCAATAGAAAATGTTTGGGGACTTCTGAAGGAAAGTGTCATTAAGAAAAATCTGCCAAATATTGCTGAAATGAACGAAGAGGTGGTCTGATATTGGGACAGCATGGACCACAACTTTCTAACTACTTTGATCAGTAGTATGCCCCGCCGCATTTAAGCCATTGCTGCCCATGGTGGGTGAAATACTGCCAACGTGCCTCAAATTTAAATTCTGCTTAATTCCTCTTGATTTTTAAAAATTATTTAACCGATCTACGGCATCGTCCATAAAGACAGCATGCACCAGACTGATTGATGTACTCAACGAATGAACCAATAATGGTTGGTTGGTTCGTTGTTTAACGCCGCATATAACAATACAACAGCAAGTTGTATTTGAGTGAAATAATTTATTTTGCCAAGGTAACATATTGGGCTGCTTAAAAACCAACGGGAATTCAACAAGAATTGGCAGTTTTTGAAAATATAACAAGTTAACAAGATAGGTACACTCTTAGAGAATCATAATACTGAAATGCTCGTTATAACAAGGGATAAATCACCTAAGCCGATAAAATAACACGCACCTAGAAAGCAGTCATGGCCCTTATAAGCTAGCTTGTGAGACCATGTTTCCTAAAAATTGTAACTGTGTTCTTGCGAGGTAGACTTACTCATTCCCAGCAAGTTCACGGCAGGATAAAACATACTGAACTTGCAAACATTGACCAAGCTGTGTGAAAACAAACTTTATGAACGCAGGATACACATGAAACAAAATGCTATGAAGAAACAAATACTTTCAAATCCTCTGAAATTTCAATCATAAAACATATGTGTCATCTATTTAAGGAGGAAACATGACTTAATAGTTTCCCAACCACTGTATATAAACCACTATATGAGTAACGAACATTTTAGGCAACGTCATGTCTTCAGAAACTCTGGCTTGTCTTCAGATAGATATTGAAACCTGAAAACAGTCATATAAAGATTTAATAAGCATGTTTGGGAGCTATTTCGCATGTAAAATTATGTATGCCACTTTCAATGATATAGCTTTCTGGGAGAGTCCCTGCGATGGCTGATTACAAACAAGAAGGCCAAGAAGGCCTTGTCGACATTCAACAGAGCAGCCAAGATCAACAACATCGACGTGTCAAATGTAGCATTACCCGGTATTGGAACTGAACAAGCACCTGTTGAATTGACCCGTACGGGCAGCAAATATGTGGAACTACCATCAGAGAAGTCGACAGAAGTCGTGAAATACAACTGCCTTGATTTGGTGCGGACCAAGTTTATGCTGAAGATAAGTGGTGTTGTATGGTTCTCCTGGTGAGTATATCAAATATATTTCGTGTTGCACTCACCGTTCCCATTCAGAGAGTGCTGCACTCATTTGTGCTATTCGAAACGTGTGTCTACATATAAAACATTAACGCCATTGCGTACATGGTCCCAATTATCTGCTGAGATTTCACATTATATAAAAGGCACTGAAAATCAGAAAAGAATATAACAATACAATACTTTTGTATCACATTCTCATTGCATCAGTGTATCCGTGTGCGAGTTAGTCATTTTCATCCAGTGCTTATATAAATTTTAATATCCAGTTGACCCCAGGCATGAAACAAAATGCTGCTTGTTGTAACGGTAAGGGGAGACTAATTTGGATCGAGTGGTCTGGCTGAGTGATGTTGTTTCTTTAAATACGCCATGACATCAAAATAGGATCTGATCGTGATATGTAAGATATTTGATATATGCACAGGACACATATATGTGTGTTTGTATTTGTTGTTTACCGGCACACACAACGATAGCACTGGTATATGAAGACAAATATTCGAATCTGGATAAGACATTCCAGTGATTGATATTGTGATCAACGAGCCACACTGTCAGCAATCCGATCCACTTTACCTCCTGAAGTATATTTTCCCAGGGACTAATTCTAAGCTTTTCTAATCCTGAAATCCAAACTGGGTGTATGGTATGTAAGATATGTGGTAGTTGGTGTTTACGTATAATATTTTACTATCTTATTTCGTTTTAAAACATAAAAAAGCACACCACATGAATCATAACTTTTACACACCATCATACCGGTTTTAAGTTCAACGGTCTAACGCATTAAATGGGCTACTAAACCGTCCAAATTATGACAGATGAAAGGTGAAAATGTTGCAGGTTGGTTGACAGCTTGACGTACTTCAGCCTCTATCTGACATCTTCATCCCTGCATGATGACTTCTACTTAAACTTCTTCCTCAACTCTCTGGCTGAAGTACCAGCAGGGCCACTCTACTGGTATGTCGGAAGAAGGTACATATCTTGTTTGGAGTCACTCTTCTGACTATCATTATCATGACAATCCATTACACGTCTTCTTGAAAGACTGGAAGCATAATGTCTCGCGATTTGTTGTGCCTTTTAGCAGTTTCATTGGTCGCCGGTTCGATTCCAGTTTCATCACGCTTATGTTTTCTCAGCTTTATTACCGTGATAATGTTCATACTAATGTGGCCAAAACCTGCAATCCAGACACACGTCCTCTATCAATCCGGCTCTCCTGTTAAACTGACCCAGAAACTTCTTTGAAACAGTTGACTGGTATATTGAACTGATGTCTTTCTGCACCTTGTTGATTACAACATTGTCTGTGTTATCATTTTCATATTGCAAATAATCACTCTGAGTGGAAATAGCATTGCTTTAGAAATATTGCTCACTCTATGCAGATGGGGAAGAAGAATCTTCTTCATGAGTTTCCATACTCTCGCTGGGATATGTCTTCTCATCGCTACAGTAGTTAAAGACTTGGCTGGTGAGAGTGATTGATAGCTCGACATGTATGCAGAAAGAGCAACAATTTGTCCTCAAGAATATATTATAATAACTATGTTATAAATTATCAAATACTGACCTCAACATTATATTTTGTCTCAACTTACTTGCATGTACGTATCCGAGTTGCACCAGACTCATTTGCCCAAACCCCTCTCCTCCATGCAAAACGACCTCTGGAAACACAAACCCTTGATCAACACTTCACATGTTTCAGTCGGCCCAGTCGCACTGACATCAGCTACTATCTTGGCCTTTATTGGAAAAGTCGGCAACGCCGCATGTTTTAACGGGATGTTTTCGTACGCACCGGAGATCTACCCAACGAATCTCAGGTTGTTGTTTTAAACAAATAAAAAGCTAGCATACATGGTTTTAGACATAATAATGCATTTGACCTTATGAAAGTTGTGAGACTGTTTGTGCACAACAGCATGATATGGGGTTCTATTGTGGTTTATTTCATAAAAGTAATATAGGCCATAGGCCCAGGTTACACTTTGAGAAAATATGTTATAATGAAGACTGTCTCAGTGACATAGCTTGATATATATATGCTGATACATGTTTTAAGATGCTTGCATTTGATGATTGCAGAAGCGTATTAAAGTTTTGGATTGTTGGATATTCATAAAAGTGTAAAGGGATATACAGTCGCCGCAATGCTTGATATTTATTACAAATAAGTAAGAAGTGATATTCATCTTCTATACATGGCAATTTACAGATATTACATAATCTGTCATTTCTAGCCTCACTAATATACCTGCCAGTTTCTATTTGTAGTTTATGAGACCCCGATATGGTAAAAGTGTTGTGATATTGTGAATAATTCGTAGAGCTTTCTATCGGCAGATCTGTTGGCATGGGATCGGGATCGACAGCTGCCAGGGTTGGAGGAATGATCGCACCTTTTGTATCTCTGCTTGTAAGAACTAATGAAAAACTTCTTTAAGTGGCATTTTAGAATTTTGACTGATGAAGAGGAACAAGTTTTATGGAAATATATTGACTTCAAGAACAAAGAAGTTGTCAATCAATATAACTTGTTCCTCTTCAATGAAAAACTGTTATACAATTATGTTACATTTTCCCACATTTCAATTAATCTTGATCAATAATCAATGTCTGTATATTCCAAAGAATGTAACGTTTTCATACCCGCAGTATATACAACTGCAACGCAATATACATAAAATGCATATGAATGGATTGATTCCTACTGTCATGATTGTGGTATAATTCAGTATGTTTTATTTCAGGCAGAACAAATACCCTGGGCCCCTGGGACAATTTTCGGGATAGCGTGTCTGGTAACAGCTGCACTCAATTATCAGCTCCCAGAACCAGAGGGACGAGAACTTCCCCAGACAATAGAGGACGTCAAGGCATGGGATAAAACTCCTGCAAGAGGTTAACACTACCCCGGAAAATCAATGCGTTTTCAAATATTTTATCTCTAACGAGAATAGTGTAAACATCGTCAAAGGATCACCAGCATGAACAATATTCAGACATACACAGTGTTATTCAATTACTAGTTTCCGATGAAATGTGATAAATGACATCGGTAGTCAAAAGGAAATGTATACCTAAACCGACATGTACCCACAAGTATATCAGTTATGGTTACAACGTTATAGTCTGTTCCTCAAAGCAGCCTTCAACTAAAAAATGGGGACATTTCTGAGGGAAAAGGAACGAATTCAATATGACATTTTATGTTTGCTTCAACAAGTGTATTAAGCGTAAAGTTTGTTCCGCTTAACGCAAATATGATTTTCTCCTCTTATATTAATATTCACTGTAGATGATGATTATGTCGATGTTATGTGTATTTTCGCATTTCCAAGGCTTTTTTTCCATCTATCTGCCTCTCTGTATGTCTCTGTCTGTCTGAATATTTTCTTATTTTTTTCTCCAACGTTTTTTGTTGTGAAGAATTAAGAAATATACTTTTATGTCAATTTTCACATGCCAGCATTAATATACACACACGATGTTTTTATCGAACATCGAAAGGGAGGTTATAACAATCAGTATATTGCACACATTATTTCACAAAAAAACGATATCATCATTCTCTGCATGCATTAAAGTTTCAATACAAGTCTAATTAGTCTATATGTACTACACAAATATTTTTTTAAGAAATTGCGATTCTTTCATATTACGTATACTATACTGAGCAGCAAAAAAACGTCAATACGAATTCAAAATTAGATAGGCACTGTAATCAAGTCATTACAGAAATGGACATAATAAGCGGATCAAAAACATTTTTTGTGTACAATATCTTGACACATCAATGAATAACACATTTCAAGACATTACGTGAACGTTTGCAGTCCATTCAAATAACGGCAATAACTGCAGCACAGCGTCTATGCATAGAGTGCACCAATCGATTGATGAAGGCCATTGGCACCTTGAACCACACCTTGAAAGGCCTGGCGCAATAAATCGGCTGTGTTCGGCCTTGGTATGACATTATTCAGTCTCCTCTAAATTTCATCCCAAAGATGTTCCATTGGGTTTACATCAGGACTATGGGCTGGACACGGCATAATGATGACACCGTTCTGCTGTAGGAAATCCCGTGAAGCTCTGGCAGTATGGGCCCGGGCGTTATCATGCTGGGAAATGTTGTTCCGGTGACGTGCGAAATGTGGTATGACGTGGGGTCTGAGAGCTTGGTCGATGTAGCGCACCGCTGTGATGCCGCCTCCTCTCCCTGGACCAAGGTTCTGGAACACCACAGGACCCACTCTCTGGTTCAGGGCCCGTGAAGATCCGGGGTAGAATAGGTCTTCAGCAACCCATGCTTGCCGTACAAGGCGACTATGCTTGTCGTAAGAGGCGACTAACGGGATCGGGTGGTCAGGCTCGCTGACTTGGTTGACACATGTCATCGGTTCCCAATTGCGCAGATCAATGCTCATGCTGTTGATCACTGGATTGTCTGGTCCATACTCGATTATTTACAGACCGCCGCCATATAGTTGGAATATTGCTGAGTGCGGCGTAAGACTAAACTCACTCACTTACTCACTCACTCTCTGGTTCAGGTCTATTCCACCCCATACCATGATGCTTGCACCTCCCCATGAGTCTCCTGCCATAACACATCGGTCTGAGTAACGCTGGCCACGTCGTCGCCATATTCTTGTTCTGCCATCTGCAGTCACTACAAAAATGACTTGGTTTCCTGAAATCTGGAAACCATCCGTATACTGGGTAAATGGGGAATCCAGTTGGTTTCCATTCACTGAAACTGAGTAACTGAGTTTCCAACTAGATTCCATTTTGGATTCTTTGATTTTTGCATTTCAGTAAATGGAAACCAACAAGAAACTAAGGCTATAGGTTTCTTGGTGGTTTCCATTCCTGGAATTTGCAATTGAAGGATTCATGAAATGGAAACCAACATAAAACCAGAAAATGTAGTAACTTAAAATTTGCAAGTATCGTCGCCATATTCCTGCACTGCCACCTGCTGTTGATCATTAGTACCGACTCTCATCTGTGACCAGAACAGGTCTCCATTGCCTGTATCGCCAGTTTTGATGTAGTGAGGCACACTGTAGACGTTCACGGCGATGACGAGGGGTGAGGATAGGTCCACGGTAAGGTCTACGGCAATGGAGGTTCCCGCTGTTAAGACGTCGGCATACTGTATCAGTACTGATTGGTCTTCCGTGTGTTCCCACTGTCTGGCGTGCTGTGTCGGATGCCTGCATGAAGGGATTCTGTACATGCTGTCGCACAACATGGCGGTCTTGTCGTCTTGTGGTCACCCTTGGTCTGCCAGTACGGGGGCGATTATTTGTGGTGTTGGTGGCCCGGAAACGTTGCTTCAGCCTGTAGATGGTCCGAAGGTTGACCTGGAAGTGATTGGCAACGGCTTGTGCAGTGGTGCCAGCTTCAAGTCTTCCTAGCGCCTGCTTCCGCTGAGTTGTCGTGAGTCGGGGCATCCTGCTGACGTTGTAATGTGAATGTTTCAACCAGGATTGGGGGTGCATTTTATAGGGCTGGTCCTTAAGAACAGCACGTGCAGCATGACTTGCATGAAAAACATGGAGAACACCGTACCATCTCCGTGATCAGGTTGCGTTTTTCAGACCATTTCCTGAATTCCATTCTGAGTTTGGGAAGGAATGTCTTTGCTCAGGTACAGTTGGAGATGTCGTCAAAAATATTACAATCAAAACATTAAATGAGTTTACAGTTATCCGTTTCTGCAAAAATGAAATTACAAACTGACGTTTCTTTTGCTGCTTAATATATGTACTAGGTAATCTGTTGTGCCTTATTAACTACTGTAAGAGTAAGTGAGTTTAATTTAACGTCACCTCGGCAATATTTCAGCCATATACTGACGAGAAATGTTTTACATAAACAATAAATTAAAGTTGCTAAATGATAAGTCATCAAGGACTGTAAAATAACTAGAGTATCACAGATGGAGTCTAAAACTAGCATGAACATGTAAAACTATTTGATTTACGAAGACAATACAATATAAAAACGGGCTAAAGATCGCCAACAACTGAAGGTAGATCACTATACTAGGAACCATGGGGACTTACATTACTTTTGCTACCTGCATGGACCCTAGCTGGACTTACACCATCCCTTCAGCTTTGGCGATTGTAGGAAAATTAAGCCACAAATTAAAATGGCAAGAATACTACGTTTAAAAACACAGGACGTGAAAATTTTACTTTGAAAGTTTTTGGGACTTACGTACCTAACTACTGTAAGAAAAGAGAATCGAATGGCCCTCATCATTTTAGTGTTTTTGACACACAAGTCCATGCTAGAGCAATCCGCACCCGACAGTTGCTAGCACGTGGATCACCTTGGACCAGGGTATGTTGCATCACACTTCTTTCAGCTTAAACTCGGAATGAAATGGTATTGTTTGTTTTCGTTTTGTTTGGTTGTTGTTTAACGCCGAGCTCAACAATATTCAAGCTACATGAGAGCGGTCTGTAAACATTTATTCCAGTGACTGACATTCTGTGATCTGTTCTACGCAGTTTCGAAACGATGGCATGCATTAACCAACTAAGCGAGAATGACCAAACGATCCTAAAAGGTCGGGTCTAGCAACAAGCATGGGTTGCTGAATTTCTAACCTGGATTATCACGAAAGGGCATTCGACTTGATTGTATTGTGAATCGCCATTACGACCGATAGCCTTTTTACGTAATAATTTCGTAATGCACTATTTGTGTTTTCAAAGTGATCAATCATGTTGAAGATTTTCAGGAGCAAAATTCACCAAATTACAAGTCAATATTCAAACGTGAAACATAACGATGTGTTATGTGCTAATGCTGGTCACAGTAACCGATGTGGTCTAATAAAGGACACCACCTTTTTACTTCCAAAGACAGAAGATGCACAGAATCAGGTACATTTTTTTAAATTTTTATTTTATTTTATTTATTTGTTTATTATTATTTTTATTTTATTTTATTTTATTTTATTTTATTTTTTTTTTGGGGGAGGAGGCTGCCCCACAAAAATAAGAACATTTAAATGGAGCGCTAACATTTGCCTTATTCAATCTACCCTTTTGTCTGGGTACCAAACTGGTGTGCGTGCGTGCGTGCGTGCGTGCATGCGTGCCTTTGTGTGCCAAACATCCATTTTGCCGCACATACGGCAAGACAGTAAGACTATGAGGCGTAGGGAACTGTAATCAATAGATACATCAGGAATACATGACGTGTCCTGAGTAAGATTCATTTCTAAACATGACGCATCAGCGACAAAAACGATATCCGATGCTATTCACTATTTGTGGCCTGGGCCATACATTCCCGACGTTTTTCAGCGGAATAATTTACTCGCCTTTGCATATGTTTATGCTAGTGGATGTGCAGGATACTGTCACCATTACACGTTTTTAAGAGGAAAAAGTCTTCGACCGGTGTCCCCCCATTACGCAGCCAGGCAGTTCGACCAACATCTCTCGGGAATATGTTTCTTTTAAAGTCAAGCCAAATCTCTGGGCATTCTAATTAAGAACCTGTATGGATCTGCTTCATACAGAGCTAGCTTAGCATTTGCATATTGCATTTTTCAGTAGCTGTCAGAAGCGAACGAACCAACATTTGCTTCAGGTTATGTGAAGATGGAAATGTACCGAACTAACAATATCCATTGGCCTCTGTATAGTTACCTCATCATTATTGTTTGGATGATTCATGGTGTTGCAGAAATCACAGGCCTTCCTGGATTGGTGTCGGCTAAAAGGTTCTGATTTACATGATAAAAGTCTCCAACCACTCTTTCTGGGTGGCATAAGAAGGGGTGTCCTATAGTGTTAATATTTTCATGGGTGTATTTCTGCTGTGCTAGGGCCTGTTTTGCAGGTACTTGATCAGTGCCGTTCCTCACATCTATCCAATCTCCTGACTTATCAAAGCAAATTGAGTATTGAGTATTTGTTGATATATCTTCATGAAATTATGCAGTTTGTCAACAAAAGACCCCGTAATACGTAGTTTCAGTCCTCCCCCATGCTGTTTATACGACGTTTAACCAAACTCCCTCACTTACTTACGACATATGGACTATGTCAACCAGAACAAAGGATGAAATATTCAGTTTCTGTTTTCGCTAACTGGTAAACAGAGCCTCTGTCCGGATATGAACAAGTCGGTTGTCATGCCTTCTAGTTACGTCTTACCAAGATATGTATACAAGCTCCGCTTGCTCTTACCCTGCGTGTCGCCATTTTTTAACAGGTCTCTTGGATAAAAGAAGAACTGCTTGGTCTGTTGGTTGGTTTCTGTTTAACACCGCACTCAGCAGTATCCCAGCTAAACGGCGGCGGTCTGCAAACAATCGAATCTGGACCAGACAACCCAGTGATCAACAACTTGAGCATAGATCTACGTAATTGGGAACCGATGACATATGTTGACCATGTCAGCGAGCCTGACCACTCGATACCGTTACTCGCCTCTTGGGTTGCTGAAGATCAGTTTTAACCCAGATCGTCACGGGTAAAAACACACAGAACTGGCTGGCTGTGGGACCATAATGCTTGAATAGGGACATGCTATACTGTGGCACTGTGTCCGAGCTGGCTAACTAACAGCGACAAATACGTGCACACAATGAAATAATATTAAATGTGACGTGAAACCCTATCGCAACTCACGTTACCTATAAATTCGCCAACTCGGTAAAATACACGTGCCGAACCTACACATGTGAGATTTTATTGGTCCGCGTGATCCTCATAACAAAACACATTTCTGAAGAGAGAAAATTCTTTTATATTCGGCCACGAAGGAAACAATCTGGGTTTCTGACTGGGAACAATAACTTTCATGCAACCCGCTACGCAACAAAAAGTGCACTGATTTTTCGAGTGGAATTTTCGAATTACGTGACACGGCGAGGGAAAACCCGGCTCAATCAAACATGCTTTTTATCAATCTATAGCTTGTTGTGTTTCTTTTGCAACAGCAGTTTGAAACACGAAACTTTACGCTTGACACATAAAACCAGACATACTCTTTGTCGTACTCACCTTAGCCTGCAGCAGTTCAGAACATCTTTAAAAATATACGAAATTTTTTCACAGTGGAGCTGTTTTACGCCGGCGCCTACGTATGTATGCATGTGCAACTGCATTATCAGTTGCATCTACAGGATAATGTGTGAACAGACTAAACGCTGCTTACAGTCCTTAGGCATGTGATATTCAAACATTTAAGGTCACGTTGGGCTGTTTACCTTCCAAGTCAACACGACCTGTGTGGTTGTGGCCTTATGTAGCCACAAGACCGCCGTGTACAGTGCATAGGTATTGTCTCAGGACTTGTCTGTGTATCCGTTCGTTCTTTCACAGTCAGCTGTCTGCACGGACCAGGTATATCATATTTTCTTTTTTTCATATTCTACATATATTACTCTCTGAATTATGGTCTATATTAGATATACATATAGCGATACGATAAAAAACATTCGCCATAAGAGTTGCTTTCAAGACTTAAGGCAAGTTAGTTTTGAGACAACGAGTTGTGAGTTATATATGGTTTATGTTCAACCAAGCCTGTAGAAATATGTTTTTACATCGTGCCATTTCAGAATTAAATCGGGGCGGTGGGGTAGCCTAGTGGTTCAAGCGTTGGCTCGGGTTCGATTCCCCACATGGGCACAATGTGTGAAGCCCATTTCTGGTGTCCCCCGCCGTGATATTGCTGGAATATTGCTAAAAGCGGCGTGAAACTAAACTCAGTCAGTCAGTCAGAATTAAATCAATGTATATTTTCTCTATTCTCATGATCACGAGACATCTGCTATACAATGTGTGACGGTCATGTGTGTGTCAGATAACTGACGTGATATGCTGGTGAATTGGTGCCTCACTCTGAACGTGAGGGTTCGAATCCCAGCATTTGTACTTTAGAAAGAAAGCGTAGTCAAAAATGATTCACGTGTTTCGTTTTACATTAATTACGTTTTACGTGTAAAATGTTTGTCTATTATACAGTCATTCCCTGTTTAAATGGATGACAATTGATATGCAATACATGTTTGATGTGTTAAATACCAAGGGTATATTGTGTGTATATATACGTCTTCATGGCCTTTGATAATGACATGCCACATATTATTTTATTGATATTTGTACATGTCCAACAAATGATCCCAACAGTTCTGATTTGAGGTTGAACACGATTCATAATTTGATTTTTAAAGTTCATTTTTGTGTTCAGGTGCACATTATCGCTTCTGTATACATGGGCTTGAATTTCCACAATGGTATGCACTGATGATGCGAAATAAGTGTCATAATTCTGGTATATTTCAGTTTTTGGTTAAATGCTGATATTTTGCACTTGCCTGCTTATATTCAAACATGAATAGCCCCCACCTTCAATTTCAATGAATATGCATTTTGGGTGAATGTTGTGAAGGCAACACGGTTACTTTAAATGCGTTTCTCTGTCAATGGACGCATTTCCCAGCACCCTTTATGTGCCTGGGACTGTCATGTCGGTATTAATCACCTCTCTGTGTTTGGCAGTTTTAATGAAGTAAAGTTTGCATTATGTCATTGTTTTCTCTGGCATTAAACTGACATCCAGTTGAGTGACTCAAATAATACTCTAAACACCTAATTCTGTTTCTTTAAAATTCAAACTTCACGTCCACCATGGCAGTAATAGGACATGACGTTACATTGCATTGTTTTTGTACGATTGTTCTTGTTCAGTTTGATTGTTTATGATAGCAGAGAAACATGTACGGACCTGTTACTATGATCACTACACTGTGCAGCAAAACAGCTGTTGTGACCTGGACCCGGTTGTATCAAACTTTAATGAAGCATTAACGTGCCATTAAACGTTCATTAACTAATGTATCATTAAATTCTGTTGTACTAACGTTTTAATGATGCTCTGTTGTCATTAGTGCGTCATTAACTTAATGAAGGTCCTGTGGTATCATTAGAGCATCATTAAACGTCCTGGAAAAGTGAACATTGCGCCAGAATTTTGTTTGCGCCGCACTGGATCTACCTACAGCTATAAAATTACACAGAAATGTAGAGTATTCAACGTACTATCTCATGGTATAAACTCAGTTTGAAAAGTAGACATTGCTAAATGTTACGCCTAATTTTGTTTTGCGTTAAAAACAGTAGATTTCTCTGCTGTTTATCGTGCACTGATAAAAGTACTGTGCTACTATATTTTCAATTGGCATCTTTACGGAAAGTGTGAGCGAACAAAATTCTACCTGATACCTGAATGACATAGGTATGTATTAAATTAGTTTGTGTGCTTATGTATAACGTTATACGCTCAATCTTAAAAGTGACTCGCAATATGTGTTGAAAATGGAATTTCCCCTATGACGTCAAATAAAGGTCACACGCTTATAAAGATAAGGGGGCCTCACTCCGGTATGCTTAATACTAAGTCATTGTAACTCAGATCACTTGGCGAGAATTTGCTGACAACTTTGTTATAGTGACAAAGACCACTTCGGCATTCGTGTTCGTGTATTTTCCAAAACATCCCAACCGATTCTAGGTTTATCGGCGACGTTTCAGAATTATTTAGACGTGTTTCTTCACAGCAGTCGAAATGTTTGTTTTTGTCCCGAGGTTTAGCCCGCAAAGATGCCATTTTGACAGACGACGGAGAGCAACACTTACATGTTTACAGCGCGGAATTGTGGGAAAATATTAGGGGAATTCCCGGATTTAATGAAAATATTTACATTAGGACGTCATTAGATAATGATACGCTAATAAGTGTTTGATACAACCGTTTTTAATGATGCCATTAACTAATGATGCATTAAGGATTTAATGTATCATTAGGGTTTAATGTTGACATTAGTTAATGAAGCAATGATACAACCGGATCCAGGTCTGAGAGGCAGCCATGGCGTGGCCTTCACGCTATTGTACAATCGTTTTCTTTAGACGTTATACCCGTGAAGGTCCGGGTTGCAATATTGATCTTCAGTAATCCATGCTTGTCGTAAGAGGCAACTAACGGGATCGGGTGGTCAGGCCCGCTGACTTGGTTGACACTCGCTGACTCGGTTCCCAATTGCGCAGATCGATGCTCATGCTGTTGATCACTGGATTGTCTGGTCCAGACTCGATCATTTACAGACCGCCGCCATATAGCTGGAATATTACTGAGTGCGGCGTAAAACTAAACTCGCTCACTCATTTTAGACCTTAATTGCATGTCGTACATTTTCACTGACTATATACAGTAAAACGTTTAGTTCCGGGTTAAATTGGTCTCCAGCAACCAACTGTCTCACTGACCGGGTTGACACGTGTCACCGTATCCCAATTGCGTAGGCCAATGCACATACTGTTGCTCACTGGATTGTCTTGTCCAGATGCGATTATTTACTGGTTTGTCTGGTCAAGAACCGCCGCCGTGTAGCTCGAATATTGCTCAGTACGGCGTTCAAAAAGACGTTTTGGCTACTTACATGTACCAGTATTCGTCCATCAATCAGCAGCGACTACTAAATACAAACTTCCGGCATTGATGGTTCGTTTCACCATGCTCTTTAAGCGTATTATCATTTCAGCTATATTGAGCTCCTGGTAAAATGTACGATTAGGTAAATGTCCATAATTTTAAGAATTTATGGGACGCAAATAATACTTCTTGGCAATGCTTACAATATCCAAATGTAGTATTCATAACCGCGTAAAAATTCTCATACACTCTGGTGATTACACATATGAACATATCTGCCTTTACAGCATATGTATGTCTCATATGTACGCATTCACAACATACTCAAAATAGTAAGGTGTTCGTGTTACTATCAACCGTCTACATCAAGACATCAAGTGGAAACAGTGTGTCAGTTTTTTGATCGCCCTGTCATACAAACAGATGTTAAACCATGGCACTCCTTGTGACCCTGAATGGTGCCCGGCATTAAGTGGATAAAACATTGTATTGCCAGATCGGAGTCCGTATACTATAGCTGAGTGGGGACCGATGATGTCTAACTGCGGACTAGCACTATAAATGTCCCACACATACACGTGCATGCACGTCGCTATAGAAGTGTTACAACATCAATCCAATACCTCACAACTCATATTTCTACCAGCTCGTTATCTTTTTATCGAAACATGAACCCTGCGCATATCTCAGTTGCATGTGTATTGCCCAATATAACATGTCACCTGGTAAAAGACGTTGGAAAAGGAAGGTTTAATTCTTCAACAACACCATCAATAACACTGTAACATAGGAGGCAATTTATGCCAAAATACGCGGGCACTCCTGTAAAGGCGAGGACAATGAATAATCACTGCCCTCAAGGCAGAAAGGAATAATGAATGAGGCTTAAGACAAGGGTGGTAATCTCAAACTTCACGGACTCGTTAACGGTAAGGTAAGGTTGAAACACATATCCATTTACATTGTGTTTGACATTGTACAAGATTTGTATGACGCTGCAAAACGTATTTACATTATTCACTCGACTCTACACATTTAGATGTACAAAGACATTTAATGGCAGTTAGTATTGTATAATAACTATGACCTTCTCCCCTTGCTCTACATTGCCACACGTGAATGTCCCATGTCTCTTTCAGTGAAGGGTGATGGGGGTAGTCTAGTAGTTAAGCGTTCGTCACGCCGAGAACCCGGGTTCGATTCCCCACATGGGTACAATGTGTGAAACCCATTTTTGGTGTGCCCCGCCATGATATTGCTGGAATATTGCTAAAACCGGCGTGAAACTAAACTCACTACCTCACTTTTCAGTGAATAAATATTATGGCCGACGACAAGAAGACCTCACTACGGACTATAGACAGTGTCCTACAACTGCTGGGCACATTGGGTCGGTATCAGCTACTCCAAGCTGTCCTGCTCGGTATTGGAAACCTAACAGTTTGCTTCCACCTCCTCAACTTCGTGTTCATAGGTATGTCTATGTTGTAGATGTAGTTGTTATTTAAGAAATTGTTTAACAAAATTTAGATGCGGTAAATTTAAACTTAGTTCTGAGACCGGTAGATATAACAATGTCCCTTATTATTCAAGATTCTGTCTTTTTTGCTACAAAAATAATCTTAATTTAATTGAAGATGAAATACATGTTTTACTTTATTGTAAAGCCTACTTAGATATAAGGAATAAATTTCTGGGTAAATATTTGAAACATCCTATTTCACAACACAGTTTTATAAACATAATGACTTCAACAAACATAAATGTTGTAAATAATTTGTGCCTATATTTATATAATGTTGGGAAAATAAGAGATTCTGATGTTTTTATGTAAAACCAGGGATAATCTACAACGTTATATAGTCTCCCTGGTAAAACGCATGTAACTTCATATCATATTTATGAATGTATTTTGGGCCAGTGGCCTATTACTGAATAAAATGTCTGTATGTCTGTATGTCCGTCTGTTTGTCTATGTTGTAGTCAACGTGAATTTGAGAGAAAGAGTTCACTGCGCCTAAAGCCGTCTTCATGATCACTTGTAGAGCATCTTTACACATGCATCCCGACGACCGTTGTACAAAGCGATCTAGTGCTACAGGTGTCATAACTATATATGTGTTCCAGTATGGGAGTTACCATCACCCAAGCCCTAGAACCCATGAAGATCTGGATTAGAATTGGTCTCCAGAAACTCATGCTTGTCATGAAAGGCGACTAACGGGATCGGCTGGTCAGGCTCACTGACTTGGTTGACACATACCAGGTGCGCAGATCGATGCTGATGCTGTTGATCACCGGATTGTTTGGTCCAGACTCGACAAAACTCCATTCCATAGTCATAAGAACGAATACATGCATGTTAAGTGAAACATTTAAATTTAATGGTAAAACTATTTGTGATAACAAATAATAGGTGAATGTTTGTTGAAAATTATAAAATCATCGTTTACCCAAGTAAATATGCAGAGCTGCCCCCACATGCAGTATATAATCTGCTGTTGTAGATAGAGACAACTGTTGGGTACCATATGATGCGATTTCTATGCAATCCCTGCGAAATTCACTGGAGTATATATCTCTGTGGCGTTGTTCGTCAGAAGTGAACTCATTCGCCAGATGAAAAAAAGTGTGCTTGCCCAATATGTCATTACGTTTTCTCATTTGTGCTTTATCCTGGAGTCCCTAGTATGGTGATCTACCTTCAGTTGTTGGCGATCTATAGCCTATTTTTATATTGTGTTTTCCTCTATAGTTAAAATGTTTTAGATTTAATTACTAGTTTTACATTTATATCTGTGATATTCTGGTTGTTTTACTGTCCTTCGTTGACAGGATTTAGAATTTATCTTTAATTATTGTAAATCTATAACTTGTTTTAGTCACGATATGGCTGAAATATTGCCAAAGTGACTTTGAATTTTAACTCACTCACACACTTTATCCTGGACTATGTCGCGGTGTCGTGCACCTATAGCCTGTATATAGCTCCTCAGGCTACAGATTCCACCCCGACTTTTGCAATGGCTCTTACATTGTGCTACTATATTCCTGTGTCCATAACGGTTGTTATTCGTGGTGCATGCATACAAACATATACATGCATACGTGTATCCATATCAATGCACATGTGCACATGTTCATCGATACATTTCGACATTGTACATACGCACTTGCTGACCGTAAATGTAATATATTACATGCTGAAGGAACACTCGTGCTTTTTCAACAGCTCAGCCCGTGAAACAACAATGTGCTGTCACGCCACTTTATGGCAACGACACCAACACCGACTACGGCAAATGCGACGTGTCTGTACGGAACACCACAGCCAATGTCACGTCAACACATGCATGCAATGCCTGGACATATGACATGGAGAGAGATCATTCCATTGTGTCGGAGGTAAGTAATATTATGTTTCTTAAAATATGTTATTATACCACTTTCGATTATACATGACTGTAGCTATTTACGACCTCTGGACAAACAAAACAAGACCCTACAGTAACATGCTCTGATTACACAATGCCATTTAGAAAGTGGTCAAATGTAACATATGTTATATTTGGGATTACACTTTCTTAGTAAAGTACAGATTGTAGTACTTATTTTATTATTTTTTTTATTTTTTTATTTATTATTATTATTATTATTTTTTTTTGGGGGAGTCCCATCCGGGATTCGAACCCACACCCTCAGAGTCAGGCACCTAATCGCCAGCACATAAAGTCGCGGTGGCAGCGCGGGCTAGGCGGCTGACTTTGTGTGCTGGCGAATATCTGCCTGAATCTAAAGGGTGTGGGTTCGAATCCCGGATGGGACTCAAACCCCCCCCCCCCAAAAGTACTAGAATCTGTACTTTACTAAAACAGTGTAATCCCAAATATTACATATGTTACAGTAACATTCTCGTTCCGTGAAAAAAAATGAGTGGTTGAAAAGGATAAGAATTTAAAGTGACCAGTAATGGGTAGAAACAGTTTGTCTTTCTATTTTGGGATACGTTTTCATTCCTGGATAAACAAAGTTAAACGAGTGTAACTGCGAGCGGTGTACAGTGCACCAATAACACTTTGCATGCTCACGGACAACATCTTAACTATATACACATTGGATCAGTACGTTTCTGCTGGTCTCAAAAGTAGAATCGTTGTACAACTCCGATTAGATCATGAGCATCCGTTCATGAATCATTATTAACCAACATAAGATCTTAGATATACCTCATTTTCAAGTTAACCTTCGTGACCAAATTTGTTTGTTAAGAATGTGTCAGTCCGAGATGAAATCTGAATTGTATGGATAGGCACACTGATCGGCAAGGACAGGAGCAGAAACGGTAACCAAACCTATGCTTATGTCTTGCTTAAATGTCCTATCCCCAAATTTCACACAGATGTTTTGGATGAGGAAACAAATATTCCATCCGAATTATCCTCAGATAGCAGTAGCGTTCAGTTTTCACAAGGGGTCCTAAACCTCTTGAACTGTAAACGCAAGCAGAACTGTGGTCGTCACGTTAACTTAAAAATATCCTGAGTATTGATTAAAGAAGCATTATCAAGTAATATCACGTAAACAACAAGTTATTAAAAAAAGTGATGAGACTATCAGTTCATGTGGAGGAAGTCCTACCCTCAAAAGGCCTAGAGCGATTGGTTGTGGAACTCACTCGTTTCCATACCAAGATCTCCACCGCCTCAGTCCACATGCCAGTGAATAAGTGAGGAAATGATGCCCTCAAATGTAGGTGCTGATAAGGAAATAAGAAGGAGAATTTATGATATTGTTGATCTTCATGTGTTTCATTCTTTGGTTACAAATATCACAATGTTGTGTCCTTTAAGATGTCATATAAAAACAATATATATGATGGCTATAAAATCTCCAAAGTAAAAATACTTTTTCCACTTACTAAGTGCAGCAAATACGGTATTAGAGACAAAACACGATTATGGACATGCTCGTTGATAGTGAGTGGGTGAGTTAAAGTTATAGTCACATCGGTAATATTTCAACCATATCGTGACTAAACACAAGATTTCATAATAAATAGAGAGTAAATGTTCGTTGATGACCTGAAACTACCCCTTCAGAGACTGACATTTATTTGTTTAAGTGGGATCTCGTGTGTGGGGATGTCTTCCTCGGTCGCCTCCCGCAGTCACTCTTCATCGTAGGACAAGGGATTGGCGCAGCCACGGTCTCGGTGATGTCGGACAAATTCGGGAGGAAACCTTTCCTTGTCATGTCACACGTGTTGACGGCCGGTGCAGGTCTTGCTTTAGCGTTCGCTCCGAATATCGCAGCTTTTTCTGGTCTGAGATTGGTGAATGGAATTTTCCAACAGGTAATGTTCATATATTTGCTTACTCTTCAAAAAGAAATTGCAGCAGTTTAAGCTGGTATTATAAACAGCTTCAGATAAGCATACACGAACCTATACATGTAAACGTCCTTACGTAAAGATGACATGACACCTGTCGGCAGGCACACAGTAAGTTCTCTTACAATACTTTGTTAAGTGTACTTTACCTTCAGTCACTCCAAGCGTGTGGAGAGGCACCTGCATAATCTTTATAGGTTCATGGAGAGTTCATCTGGAATTAGGGCGGTGGTCATCATTGCAAGCTCAGTAAACTTGTTCAAGTAGAGAGGTGTCCACACTTACTGCTGTGAGAGGCAAATAACGGGATCCCATTGACTGCCACTGGAGTGTCTGGTTCAGACTGAAATATTTAAAGACCACCTTAATGGCTATGATCTTCAATATGTGTGTGTGTGTGTGTGTGTGTTTGTGTTTGTGTGTTTGTGTGTGTATACGCACATAGATAAATAAAAAACAGAATGCCTTTTTCTCCAACATTTTTCGTTCTTTACTCTTCAGGGATATTGTAGCAGTTACTGTAACTGCTACAATCTCCCTGAAGAGTAAAGAACGAACCATATATATATCCTCATGGAAATCATGTCATCAACTGAGGACAAACAAACATTACAGTTATCACATCAATTAATCACTTAGAACTTAATCACAGGATGCAAAAAAAACTCATGGTCCTCGTTTGTGGACACTATCAGACTGTCAACTGACACTTTCAAGGGAGGTGATTTTGGAGTTCTCCATACTGGAAGTAAAAAAGAAGATGGCCCACGTGGTTGTAGCAGACAGCAGGTCCACCTCACCAGGTATTCGCTTTATTTTACAAAAAATCTGAATTATCTCAGAAAATTTGACATGACCAAACTACTTTTGAATATACATGGTTTCTAATTTCATTAATACAAAAGTTTTGCCAATTGTATATGTGAGTGAAATTTGCAGTTAAATTCTATGTACCTCGATGGGGACATTGGGTTTCAGATCAGAAAAATGATGTCCTTGTATGTGGACATCAGGTCGAAATGAATCCTGATCAAACTTGAAAATGAGATGCAAATCATTTGTTCAGAAATTATTTTCTTTCATCTTAAACAAAATTTACTATCTTTCATTTTGACAGTTTTAATTTGCTGTTTCAGTTAAGCCAAAGAGACTTGCAAAGCGACTCAATACAGAAGATGTCCTGCAAATGTTGGATGATTCTGACTTAAGTTTGTCTGATGGTGACTCTTCAGAGGCCGAAAGTTTTGAGGATTCTGATAGTGATCGTACGTTTTCAGTATCAAAAAATGAATCAGATTCAGAATCAGAACTGGAACCTGATCATGATATACAACCAGCAATGGAACAAGTTGAGAACTCTGACTCAGAACATTCATCAAGTTCTGAAGAAGATATGGATATTGCTTCCGTCCAGAGCTGGCAAGGGGCAGAGGAAGAGGTCGTGGGAGACCGTTAGGGAGACGAGCTCGTGGCATTGGTGGACGAGGCAGACAGATGCAATGGTAAAGATCAGACAACTTTACTGGGAGTGGACATCAACTACATCCAGAGGATGCCAACGATTCAGATTTTCTGAAATATCTAACTTATGTGTTCACAGAATACTTTAATGATGATATGTTTTAAATGATTGCCAGGAACACCAATGTGACATATCTCCAAAAGCACGGTCGTCCACTGAACACAATTCCTGCAGAAATTCGACATCATCATGGGGAGTTTACGCTATCATAGAGCACAGATGTATTGGGCAAGAGCAACAGCAGGTTCAAGCAATTGTGCAAGCAATGAGTCGAGATCTATATTTTAGGATAAGGGCATATAAAGATTGTTAATGATCTTGATGTGTCAGACTAAGCTCGGCGCAGTGATAAATTGTGGAAAATACGCCCACTTTTGGAACAGGTGAAACATGAGTGTTTACAACTTCCTAGACCGATGACAGTATGTGTGGATGAGCAGATGATTCCATTCACAGGACACAATGGAATGCATATCACAGGAAAGCCAAATCCAACTGGACTCAAGAACTTTGTCATTGCATCTTGATCTGGATTAGTCCTTGCTATTTAGATATATCAAGGCAAAGAGCAGACTGTTGCTCCAGATAATTCAAATAAGCCAGTTGATGGTCTTGTTGTCCTACGGCTAATTTCATCCCTCCCAGAAGGCTCATCTGTGTATATGGACAGGTATTTCACAAACATGCCTTTGTTTGATAACTTGATGGAGCTACACATCAACGGAACAGGAACCATCATGAAAAGATCTGTCCCTGCAGCTGCTCGTCAGCAGCTTCTCGCTGATGGAGTGTTGGCTAGACAAGGGCGTGGTTCATCAAATCAGCTTGTTCGTGAAGATGGAAAAATTGCACTTGTGCAATGGTATGATAATAAATCAGGTTTGATGGCTTCAACTGAACTTGGTCTCGACCCTGAAGGAGACTGCAGGCGTTGGTCTAAACCAGAATGACAGGATGATATCTCTGTACAGGATTTCAGCACGCACAAGCAAATGGACTGTAAGAACAATCGTCCACGTGCTTGACATGAGTTTGGTCAACTCATGAATTTTGAACAGAGGAAAAAGCTCTAGCAATTGCAGTTTCTTGATTTCCGTATGGCTGTTGGTGAATGCCTCGTTTACACTGAAGATATGTACTGCAGCTCCAGCTGATGTGCTAGATGAGCCTCTCCGGAAGAGAGTCCCATTGCCTCCAGAAGCAAAACATTTGCCCAGGTTTGTTGAGTTGAAGAATGAGGCTCGTTGTCGACATCCTGGATGCAAAGCTGGCAAATCTCGACTGATGTGCACAGAGTGCAAGGTCTTTCTTTGCATGCGTGAATGTTTTGAAAACTTCCATCTGTGAAGCAACTCACATGTTCTAAAAGGGGCAACACAAAATTAACGTTTTACAGTATTGAAGTTAAAGTTTGAGAGTTCTGAAGTTATAATTGAAGTTCTTTTTGTGTCATGTTTATTGTCCATTGATGTTGCATCAGTTCTTCTTCAGACATGTGCAACACCCTGGTGAAGTCAATTTCAGTATTAAACGTTTATGTTTTGATCCGTGTTAAGTTTTGACTTCATGATAATTATTTTCCAGAACAAGGGGCAAAATTTGTAAAAGAAGGATTTTCAGTGACGTTTTTTTCCAAATAAAGAACACTTATTGCTTCACTTACAGATTGGTTGTCATGACAACTGTTTAATTTAGCATGCTATCTTGTTTTGTACTGCATATCTCTTTGAACATGGCATTCTTATATTGTCCACGTGCATGGACATTGGAAATATTTTTGGCAAGCTTGGACCCCGTTTCCACATAATATGAGGACCCCTTAAATTAGCATGGGGGATATCAATGGATTCAAACTGGGTCTATCACCTTCATAAGTGATCAATATTTGACAATAAAACCAGGCCTGTCTAAGTTGTAGGAAAAAATGTCATTGCTGGGTCCCAGGAGGATATATATATTGGGTGGACCGAAGGGAAATGGGTTTTCAAAAGTCCAAACAGAGATACGTCAAAAGGCTTTATCCAGCCTCATGTAAGAATGTCGAGTTTTGATTGGTTCACGTGACTCTGATAAAATACCATGTACCCCCGTCACGATCCGCTAGCAGGGAGTACAAAAGTCACATTATCCCGCCACGCCTCGGTGACCACGCGAAGTGAGAAAAGCGTGCATCGCCAAGCCTTTAGTAACGTGCGCTGCATTGAGGTCAATCGATCAGTTGTTGTCTGACTGGCTGACTGACTGAGTTTGGTTTTACGCCGCTTTTAGCAATATTCCAGCAACATCACGGCGGGGGACACCAGAAATGGGCTTCACACATTGTACCCATGTGGGGATTCGAACCCGGGTCTTCGGCGTGACGAGTAAACGCTTTAACCACTAGGCTACACCACCGCCCTCGATCAGTTGTTGTCAACATGGCAGCAAGGAAACGTTTTGCCACAACAACTGAGAATGAAATTGAAGCAAAACGTTGTTTGATTTAGTAAAAACTTTCGGCTAGATAAATGCGTTATCACATCGTGTCTCGGGAAATACGGGGTTGTATCAGTCCCTCGTAAGGCTCGGGGAGTACAACCTTACTCGGGACTGATAAAACCTCGTATTTCCCGAGACACGGTGTGATAACTTATATTACTACTCTCTTGTTTTCCCTGTTTTTAGCTTTAAAGTGATTGAGTATCAGCTTAATATGTTATCTGATTGACTCAATCAGCAAGATTCAAATACCAAGAGGGTAACAATAACAATAAATATATTGCGCTATAAACATGTCCAAATTATTTCATTGCCATAAACGGCGTATGAAATATGGAATACTACTGAAAAATCTAGCTGATATTAGTGCTTCAGAAGTATGTGAGGTAAATAGAACTGCTCAAGGCAGTATCCATGTGTAATGAATTTGAAGCTAATAACACCTTTTCTGTACAAACTAAATAACATGTGTGGATTACTTTTTAAAGGCTCGCTGTTCCTAGAAATCTCCTTTTCTTTGTTGATCCAGGGCATTGTTGTGACAACATGCACAATGGGTATGGAGGAGTTCCCGATGAACCGGCGGATAGAAGTATCTACAATGTTCACCTTGGGGTGGAGTGTCTGCACAATGCTCCTCACAGGCACCGCCTACCTGTTGCGTGATATGGACTGGAGAACCCTACAGCTCTGTTTTGTATCTGTTTCCACCCTTGTAATTTTCCAGATTATGTAAGTCTAAGGTGCTTGCTATTTCCAAAACGTGCATGTAATACAAGGACACATGATCACGAACGTAAGCATTATATTTCGCACTTATGCATCTTTTTGGCAGTGACCTTGTTATAAGGAAAGGGGGAATTTTCATTTCATTCCGTTTGGCGACATAATACTCCCAATATCAATCATTGATACATCAGTCATTATATCTGCTGACGCACGGTGATTTGAGGCCTTTATGTCGTCCATTGGAGACCTAACACTGGGACATGCATATGTCATTGTCTCTAGATGTCAAATCTGTTGGTAAGAATACATGTTCTGTTCTTGTAGCAGCGTTCAGAAGAAACTCTGACAACAGAAAACGTTCTCTGTCTTTCTCTGTTTTAAGAAGGGAATATTTGTGTGGTTTTATTCTCCTGCTAAATCACCAAGTTGCAAGGGAAAGGTGTGAATTGTTCTGGTATTCATGTAGGTGGAAGAGGTACCATAAGTTCCTACTGTCCTTTGAGTGTTAACCTTGGATTTGTTGCTTGAGATCTGGAGTCGTGATTATGTAACGTATCATTGCCTGATTTACTAAACATATGTTCATCTTCCACATATTGTTATTTATCATGTTGCTCTTCTTTTATATAAAAATATAGCATAACTATGACTTGATCAAGGTACATGGTGGTTGAAATACTGCCGACGTGACTCACAGTTCAAATTATTCCTCAATGTTTTATGATTTTAACCCTCCTATGGCATCGTCCATAAAGACAACATTCACCAGACTGATAGATCGACCCTACGAAAGCATGCAGAAACCAAAAATGGTTGGTTGGTTGGTTGGTTTAAGAAAGATCCCAGCTATATAGCGGGGTGTCTGTAGATAATCGAAGTTGGACTAGACCATCCAGGGATCATCAGTATGAGCGTCAATCTACGCAATTTGGACATGTGTCAACCAAGACTGACCACCAGATCCCATTAGTCGCCTTTAACAAACATGGGTTGCTGAAGTCCAATTCTAACCCGGATTTTCATGGGTTCCAAAAATAGTAACCCATTGTATGCTACTATTTATATCCTTTAGAATGGAGAGACTAATTCAAATTCCTCAGTTACATGTTTTAATACTATATTTAGATGTATCTACCACAGTGCATATGGCTCTCAAAAATACTATAACGCTAAAAAATAGCATTTATAATTTTGTATGCCACTTTCAATTACATAGCTTTCTGGGAGAGTCCCTGCGATGGCTAATTACAAACAAGAAGGCCAAGAAGGCCTTTGCGGTATTCAAGAGGGCAGCCAAGATCAGCAACATCGACGTGTCAAATGTAGCATTGCCCGGTATTGGAACTGAACAAGCGTCTGTTGAATTGAACCGTACGGAAAGCAAATATGTGGAAACACCATCAGACAAACAGACAGACGTCGTGAAATACAACTGCCTTGATTTGGTGCGGACCAAGTTTATGCTGAAGATAAGTGGTGTCGTGTGGTTCTCCTGGTGAGTATATCAAATACAGTACGTGATGTACTTTGGATGCTAGGACCTGGCTGAGTGATCTCGTTGTTTGTTTACATACTCCGACTACGTATCCGCCACTGTATGAACGATTTGTATGTGATATCTAAGATTTTAATATATCAAATTCTTTATTCGCAGAGTGTATGTTGGCCATCGGCCCATAATACAAATATTAAATGTTTGCAGCCATATATGATTGGCGGTGCTTTACAGCATAATAAACAAACATTGCTACATTTCTGATGACAAAGGTGTTGTTTGAGGTCATCAATATATTGTAATTTGACAAAGAAGGGTATGTGTAAAACTTGGCAGGAATATATATAGTGCGCAAGGAACTGTATACAGTACACACTAAAAGGAAATGATACTCGTTTTCTATATATCCATTGTCGCACATGTTACATAACCTGTGATGTCTGGGCTTATTTGTGTATCTACCTGTCTCAATATTTAATTGATGGGAACCACAGCGAAACTGTGCGAGTGCAATGCGAAATTTACTAACGTTAATAACACTTACTTATGGTTCCATAGATAGATTACACTTGAAAAGAGAATATGAATAAGTTTTAGAACTTATATGCACGTGACACATGTATTTGTGTGTTTGCATTTGTTGTTCACCGGTGGTCACAACGATAGCACTGCTATATGAACAAGTTCTGCAAATAGTCAAATCTAGATAAGACATTCCAGCCATCGATATTGTGATCAACGAGCCACACTGTCAGCCATACGGTCCATTAAGTCACGTTTAACCTCCAACATATTTTCGCCAGGGACTAATTACAAGTTTTTCTAATCCAGAATGCCCTCTGGGGGTATGATATGTAAGATATGTGGTAGTATATGTTTAGTATAATTTCACTACCATGTTTTGTTGTAAAACATAAAAGCACATCGTCAATTATTGAATAACGTTTACACACCATCATCTCCGGTTTTAAATGTGACGCTTTAAATAGGCTACTAAACCGTCCAAATTATGACAGATGAAAGATGACAAACATGTTGCAGGTTGGTTGACAGTTTGACGTACTTCAGCCTCTATCTGACATCTTCATCCCTGCATGATGACTTCTACTTAAACTTCTTCCTCAACTCTCTGGCTGAAGTACCAGCAGGGCCACTCTACTGGTATGTCGGAAGAAGGTACATATCTTGTTTGGAGTCACTCTTCTGACTATCATTATCATGACAATTCATTACACGTCTTCTTAATAGACTGGAAGCATAATGCCTCCCGATTTGTTGTTCAGTGGTATATGCCTCTTAGCAGTTTCATTGGTCGCTCGTTCGATTCCAACTTTCACCACATGCTTTACAGGGTTATAACCGTTGTAGTGTTCATAATAATGTGGTCAAAGCCTGCAATCCAGACACACGTCCTCTATCAATCCGGCTCTCCTGCTAAATTGACCCAGAAACTGCTCTAAAAATGCTCATTGGTTTTATTGGACTGATGATTGAAATGTCTTTCTGCATCTTGTTGATTAAACATTGTCAGTGTTCTTATCTTCATAACCGTTCTGAGCGGAAATAGCATTGTTTTACATATACTGCTCACTCTATGCAGATGGGGAAGAAGAATCTTCTTCATGACTTTCCATACTCTCGCTGGCATATGTCTTCTCATGGCTACAGTAATCAAGGGATTGGCGGGTGAGAGTGATTGATAGCTCGATATATATTCACAAAGAGCAGTGCTTTGTCTTTAAGAATACATTACAATACCTCTGTTATAAATGATCAAATACTGGCATATGCTCTCCAGTGGACCGTCACCTCTCTGTCCATGTTTCATATAAAATATTCAGTGTCACCACTTAACGTGTATGCTTCATCTTCGCTTTTTGTCCCTATCTTACACTGTGGTATATATCTGGAAACGATTTCAGTATTTCTTTTAACATCATTACAAGTTTTACATACCAATTAAAATCAAAAGTTAAATGTTGAATAAAGTATATATATTTGTTTCAACTTATTTTACATGTACATAGCCGAGTTGCACCTGTCCAGAACGCATTTGCCCAAAACATAATCCTCTCCATACAAAACGACCTCTGGAAACAGAAACCTATGATCAACACTTCACATGTTTCAGTCGGACCAGTCGCACTCACATCAGCTACTATCTTGGCCTTTATTGGAAAAGTCGGCAACACCGCATGTTTTAACGCGATGTTTGCGTACGCACCGGAGATCTACCCAACGAATCTCAGGTTGTTGTTTTAAACAAATAGAAAACTAGCGTAAATGCTTTAGGATATGTAAATGCATTTGACGTAATGAAACTTGTGAGACTGTTTGTGTACAACAGTATGATATGGTAAATGTGTTGTGATATTGTGAATATATCGTAGAGCTTTCTATCAACAGATCTGTCGGCATGGGATCGGGATCGACAGCTGCCAGGGTTGGAGGAATGATCGCCCCTTTTGTATCTCTGCTTGTAAGAACCAATGAAACACCTTCTCTCAGTCGCATTTTAGAAGTTGGTATGATGAAGAGGAACAAGTTATTGGGAAATATATTGACAACTTCAAGAACAAAGAAGTTGTAAATCCGTATAACTTGTTCCTTATCAGTGAAAAAACTGTTATACCGTTTTGTAACATTTTCAATTTCAATTAATCTTGATCAAAACTAAATATTCTGTATATTCCAAAGAATGTAATTTTAAATACCATTAGTATGATCAACTGCAACGCAATCCGATTGAATATACGTATGGATGGATTGATTCCTACTGTCATGATTGTGATATAATCCAGAAGTTTTTATTTCAGGCAGCAGAAATATCTTGGGCTCCTGGTACAATTTTCGGGATAGCGTGTTTGATAACAGCTGCACTCAATTATCAGCTACCAGAACCGGAGGGACGAGAACTTCCTCAGACAATAGAGGACGTCAAGGCATGGGATAAAACTCCTGCAAGAGGTTAACACTACCCCGGGAAAACAAAGCTGGACGCGTTTTGAATAATAATATCTCCAGATATATCCCTGACGCAAATACTGAAGTATGAACAATCTTCAGCCGTACACACAATGGAATTCAATTATTAGTTAATGACATCGGTAATCAAATGGAAATTTAATTCGTAAATCTTCATGTGTATCAGTTATGGTTACAACGACATGTTCGTATTGTCAGCCTTAAAGAAAGCTTTAGATCACATACTACCCATCAAAAGTTTAGACTCACTGGTTTAAATGTAGCCACTTACTTCATTCAACTGTTCTGAACTAGATTTTACAAAATATTCCATACTGTTTAAAGGTACTGTTTACACATGAACTGATTTATTGTAAAACAAATTCGTACCTTTGAAAAGATTATTGTCATGAGTTCAATAAATGATGAAACTCAGTGAAAATTGGCGAATTCGTAACAAACCTTTACACCAAAACGCAGCTGTGCACATGCAAGATATTTGCACATGCTTTTTAGCAATTTGATGCATGATCCTCATGCAATTCATCTGGACAAGGTTTGCAGTTGGTTCCCCCAAGTTAGGGGAGAAATTCATCTTCAGTCTAACCACATATATATACATAATGCTTTAAGTGAGTCTAAATTTTATTATCAGAAACATGATATATACCTATCAATAGTAGATTTAGTATTTGGTCTAATAAATCAAATTGTTACAGTCAACCAAATATTATCAGAAAGTGATCGGTCTGTTGTCAACAGTACGAATAGTCCTGATCCCTCTTTGTTGTCACGCTTTGATTGATGGAACTCAAACAGGAGGGGCACATGTCTGGGGACAAGGGAAATAATTCAATATTGCATTTTATGTGTGTTTCAACAAGTTTATTAAGCATGACGTGTGTTGTATTGATTTTGTTGCGAGATTATAGAGTTCCATTTATCTAAAATATGCTCTGCTCCTTCGATTATCATTGGCTCTATGTGAGTTGATATGTTTTCCTGTTTTTTTGTATTTTGTTTGTTGCTTTGTTTTTGTATATTTTATTGGATGCTCATGATTATTAACACGAGCCATATCAACTATCCACAATCCAGTTTATATTGTAGATGTACTGTCCCTAATCTGAGACAATATAATGAGCACGTTTTTAGATTTTCCCTATTGATTTTCTTTTTTGTTGTTTTGTTCGACTTTTCTTCTTTTTCTCTTACACAAACAAACACTATGACAATTCTCTGCATGCATTATATTTTCAATACCAGTGTATACATACTGCACATAAAACTTTCAGGAATTACGAGACATTCTAATTAATATACTTGGTAATACTTGACTATTGCTGAGTGCAGCGAAAAACTAAGCTCACTCACTCACTCGCTGCTCTACTAGGTAATATTTTGTGACTGTTTAGCTACAGTATTATGATATGAACGAAAGGTCCTCATCATTTAGTGCTATAAGACACACAGAGCAATCCACACCCTCTTGTCGCTGGCACATTCTGTGTTCATCCATCACACGTTACACCAAGTGTATGTTTCACACTTCTTTCAACTTAGACTTAGAAATGATATTATTTGCTTTCGTTTTCTTTCAAATTTGTTGGTTTGTTGTTTAACGACGTGTTCAACAATATCCCAACTACATGAGGGCGGTCTGTAAACATTCAAATCTGGACTAGAAAATCCAGTTATTCCTGCAATTCACATTATAACCATCGATCTGCGCAATTTGGATACGACGACATGTATTATGGGGCGCGGTGGGCGAGCTGGCTAAGGCGCCAGGATAGTGATCCAGAGAGGTTGAGGTGTCGGGATCGAGCCCACCTGTGACCGGGTGTAAAAACCTTGGAGTCAACTTTGTGTGCAGACTCTTTCAGCGTTGTCACAACTCCTAGTGTACAGTACACAACCCTGCGCACTTAAAAGAACCCACGAATTCGTTGGTATTTGACCAGATGGTGGCCACATGAATACGTGCAAACACCTAGTTGCGGGTACAGCAACGTGCAGTGAACATGAACATGGACAAAGTACTGTGACTATGTGTCCCAGTCCACCCAGCTGTGAATGGGTACCTCGTTAGGATGAGAAAGCCACAATAACTCGGTGCGCCTAGTGGCTGCACTAGTTGTATACTCCCCAGGGAGTTGAGATTGCTCATACGATGTGCCCTTGAGATTGACATCCAATGATCGGGGGGAAAAATACCAGCGCCTTGAGCATGCACCAGTGCGTGGATATGTGCGCTATATAAAAATATCCTATAATAAAAAACAAACAAAACATGTATCAGGAAACTCATGAAGATCATGGCTTCACGCTTCTGTTAGTCGCCTCTTAAGACACACATGGGTTAAAGAAGATAACATGGGTTATATTTCCAACCTGGATTTTCACAGGTGTGCTTTCAACTCGATTGTTTTATGAATCGTCATTACGGCAGACAGTATTTTTACGTGACAGTTTCGTAATGATCTCTTTGTTTTTTGGAGTGTTGATTTGCGATGAGGATTTTCATGAGCAAAGTTCAACAAAGTACAAGTCAGTGTTCAAATGTGATGCAGCTGTCTTTGTTTCGTCTTCTCATGGCTCTATATTTGTATTTTCTCGTTGTTCCTACACGCTACCATGAACACACACACTCTCACACACACACTCACACACACACTGGTTACAATGCACGTGGTGTATTACTTGTTAGAAACTGACTCACGTCGACAGCCTTTAGAGCTTTTCTTTATGGCAATACATTACAGGCTATGAACACACCGACGTTCTAGCTGCACAATGCAGGTTGCACGTGACATGCATGTATGTAATACATCGTGGCCTATTTCAGTCTGTAACATTCCGTTTGAAGAGATCGATGTAAGATCATTCACAGCATTTTAAGAGTATTGGCGCAGCGGGTAGCCTCGTGGTTGAAGCATTCGCTCGATGATAACCGTGGTTCGATTCCCCACATGTTTTTGAGGCTCATTTCTAGGGTCCCCAGCCGTGATATTGCTTGGATATTGCAGATATCGGTGTAAAACCCCACTCACTCACTTGACACAATGTCACACATTTTCGACAATGTTTTGGCCTATATTACTAATATTTGGGTATATGCACTAACTTTAGTTTCCTTTTGATGCAATAAAAGACTTATTATCCCTTACGACTTGCCTGAACTCGATAATTGAAACTTCGAGGCGAACAGCTTCCAAACAGCAAACACTTGCCATATATGGAATGTAAACTGTTTGCCGAACTGGTTTCAATCACAAGTTGTGCGTAAGATATTCGTAAAGAGCTCTCAAAGAGACATACCTCTATGGGGTTCGCTTAAAAAATGTTCTGCCGATAGAGGGCTCGAGAGTATATTTAATGCAACGTTGCATTAATTCATTCGAACTTTTTAATTTAATATTGTAATCTGAATGCCTAATTCTTTTTGAAAAAAATTATATGGTAGCTTCTCTGAGGGCTGTTAGTTAGCATTATTGAGTGAAATGCATTATTTATTTTTTTACAAATGTGATGTGACACAGTGCCTTTAAGGCATTGACATGGAACTTTATATTCCTGTGAAATATGACGTCCATGCATTTCCAGTATCAAGAAACGCGTATCAAATTTCACTCAGGATTTGATCAGATTGAACAGCTGCAAGGTCACAATGATGAAACAAGGGGTTATGTCCAGATGACACACGGTCTAAAACTGGAAACTGTATGTCTGGATTACCGCTGGGGTATAAAGTGAGTGGGTGAGTTTACTTTTACGCCGCCTTTGGCAATATTCCAGCAACATCACGACCAGAAGTGGGCTTGGGTATAAAGGAAAACGGAAATAGCTGTACATGTTTTTTATGCCACAACAAGTTTCAGTATGTTATGTTAAATATATGAAATTAACTAATGAATGCCAATTAATTCATATATGATTGCGTAATAATGTTTCTATGTATTTGTGTTATTTGAAACGAGTATTGTGTCGTCTGCTGTTTGTGAAATGGATTAATTATATTTCTTATTCGCTAGATTTTGTACACTAAAATATGTGATGAGTTATTTATAGAGTCATAGTGTTGAAATCCGTACGTTATCAAACAACATGTAACTAGATTTATCGTTATTCACATACCCTCTCCTGATCACAAAGGCTGTGATGTGACAGTCTGTACCAACACAAGGAGTGTTAACACAGTCCGATTTTTAAATAGAATAGCCCTTATTCAATCGACAAGGAAGTTGTCCCTCCGCAGTAGAGCCAGTTATGCCCTTCGCTCCCAGCTGAACAACACGAACCTCTCGTCCCATGAAACGTTTATTGAATTATATGTTCCGACAACACTGGATTGTCTGGTTCAAAACTCTTTTGTTCGCAGACCGCAGTCGTGGCCAGTATTGCTGTTACATATGTTACATTACCAATGGGTGTTACCCATACGAAGGTAAATTGAGTAGCCCCATTCACACCTCACTTGTACGATACAGTACTACACAAATAAGACAAAAGATCTGACTTAAAATTGCATTTTATAATTTATTTGCTCCATATCCAGGCCTACCAAAGACAACTTTCCCACTGTGCAGAAAACGTAGAAAAGCCCACATTAATCGTGAAAATAGCAACATAAACACATTACCTCGCTACTGAAACAGTAAAAACGGCAACGAAAAACTATGAAACTGCAACATTTTTATATCAGCGAACTTTGACCTTTACTGCGCATGCGCATTCCGATCCGGGCTTCTTTCAAATTTCCGAGCAACCGTGAATCGTTTTGCGTAGAAAAAGTATTAAATATTTCAAAATAATTGCTGTCAACCGTTTAATACGAATGGAAAGTAAACTAAACAAGTGTGCCCACAAGTATCATGATGATAAATGCCAAATAACACAACAGAAATACTTAAAAAGGAATGTATCTTTTGTCCAAGCTGGAAAATGTCAACATGCGGTAGAGATTTCCTCTTCCATGTGCGCATGCGCAAAATCGAAGTTGCGGGGTCCTCGTTTTATGATGCAGTGTAGCGATTTCAATTTGCCGTATTTGCTGTTTCAGTAGCGAGGTATTATGTTTATGTTGCTATTTCCACGATTAATGTGGGTTTTCTGCGTTTTTCTGCACAGTGGGAAAGTTTTTTTTGGTAGGCCTGATATCCTTCAGCACAAAACTAAAGCACATGTGTATAAATATACCAAAGCACCATCATTAGTCATCAAAACACGAAAATATAGCTTCAGAAGTCACACTAATTTGGTACAAATGTTCACATATTCAACGTCTGCATTAACGTCAACGGAACCTCACGTTTCCAAACAGCGTCCAGATACTGCAATAGAATCTTGCTGCCTTGCTCCAACTATTCTTTTAGTCTGACAAGACGGTTGTTGGCATCGCAATAAATTCTTGCGTGAGGAGGAGGAGCAGCACAGAAGTGGACCTTAATCCGCTGTGCTTTCTCTGTTTGTTTTCCATTAGAGCAATGAGGCGAGTTATGCCTAAATGAAAGACGACTGATGAAGCCCTTGATACAGTTGATAGTCCTTGGGGTCTCGAGGTTGGTTCCACGGTGATATGTGAAACAGTTATTATCCACCCAGTAAGCAACGTTATCTTTGAACCTCACAGAAGGGAGCACATCTTAAAAAGTATTCCTGGCCTCTATCAACATATCTCGAACTTAATGAGAAGGAAGAAGGAGTTAGACAGCGTCACGATGAATCCTAGAGGCCTTTTATCAACCTCTGGATCTTCCCGATAATTGTCGACTAGCCCAACGGCCTGGGCATTTCGGCATGTGGCTTTCCCTTTGCTTTCCAGGGGAAGTCACATTCATCTTGAAACCTAAGAAAATCTAAGACCACATAGTTTTAATAAACTGAACACTTGCCTTTGCTTACGTTTGTGAATACCTGTTACCAAAATACAAACATTAATAACTCCCAAAAGCTTTTCCTTGTTCGATTGTAGTCGATTGTGCGTGACACAATTGTGTTCACGAATCGTGATTAAATAGTGAGACCAGGTGTTCTCTCGCAAAATGGCGAGCATTTCCTGTTCTATCGGTGGCCCTAGTTTCGAGCACCTGCAAAGGCTGGCCATGTGTTCACTTGAGAACAGGCGCCTTGTGGTAGCCTACTAGTAAAAAGCATCCGCTCGTCACACCGAAGACCTGGGTTCGATTTCTTACATGGGCACAATTGGTGAAGCCCATTTCTAGTGTCCCCCGCCGTGATATTACTGGAATATTACTAAAAGCGGCATAAAACCATACTCGCTTATTAACTCCCTTGAGTACATAAACGCGGGAACATTAGACTACAGGTCAAAATAGTGAGTTCCGATTTGGTCATTTTTGTCGCTGGGGCGTCAGTGTTTGAAATGTGCTTAATGGGGCCTTGAATGAGTCTTCGGTGTCTTTGATGACAAAGGAAAAGCCTGAGCTCTGAGTCGTATTACGTTCTTTCAAATCTTTGTGTAAAGAACATGATCAATTACAACTCTAAAGTTGACGCCCCAAAATGCAAAGATTCATGGTTAACACTTTGTTCACCCGAGCTATTGTAAATGATCACCTTTACGGATCACTGCTTTGCTTTGCATACCACCCAGACATATTACGCAATCGAAAACGAGTCACAAGAAGGAAGTGTATTAAAGCAATGTGTGCATATACCTATATTCACGGACATCCTCCATCAACTACTCAGAAACATGACATCCTTATACTATTTATTGTTTGGAATTGTGTGCTTTCTTCCCAAGATGGCTGCACAAGGTAAGCGTTGTCTAATTTATTCAACAGGTTTGTAAATCTTCAACGTAAAAGCTACTAATCACTGTTTTCTTTATGATTATGTCCAGAAACGACAGAGCCCAATACCCACCATTTTATGCTAACTGCTTACATTATTGAATGCGTCAAACGGTGTTACATGTTCAGAAATGTATGTCACTATAAAATGTAGACGTAGTAAGTCAGAGAAGATGTTGGTGCATTAGGATAACGTTTAAATGTGCTATATTTGCTCAGGGAATATGTTCATTTCAGAGGAAGTTGGTTAGCGGATTCGTTGAATTCTCATCCATGTGCTTAAATACGCTTTATAGCCTATATAAATCCTACACATATATATTTGTTACTCACTGAACACCATGGTACAGAAGGTTTCGTGCACATCTTTAGTCTTTATCATTTGAACTTTGAATAACCATAAAATCCACTTCTTGAATTACTATTGGGTTGAAATCGTGAGGAAACAAAGCATTTTGTAAGAAAATACTAAGATGAATGCATTGGCATCTGTTATAAGTATATGAACTACTTGTCAAGTTTATGGAAAAACGAAGATTGAAATGCCAAATCCTACTCACAATAAGATTCAAACCTGGACCACAGTTTAAAGGAAAACATGTGGCATGCCATGAGCCGTACGTTTCATTGCAAAACAGTGTTGTGACATAATGATTGTTGTTCTCAGTAGGGGGTAGTGATGTACATGTTACTATATTTAGCCTGAGAGTAAAGGCTGTTTTGGAAGCTTCTAGAGCATACGAAATATTCCGGCGCAGTCGGAGGCTTAAATATTGCAGTGCCAAATATGTTTAATAAGGATGATACTTACTTACTTCAAATGAAAAGTCATGCATTGAAGCGGCAAGATGTTTTTACCAAGGTATACTTGACCAGGTAGAATACCACTCCTGTAAGGTGTTTGCCAAAGCGTTTAGCAGCCGGCGGACGTATCGAGTAATCTGGAACCATCATCTTGCCAGTTGACAGAACTGATTTTGCTGTCTTCGATTAGGAATTGTATGACTTTGAAGCCCATGACTTAAAGCTGTGAACTTAAAACTAAGGATTACACTTCACTGATAAAAATATGGTTGTTCCGCTTCACATGAGAGATACAACCAACCTACATCGTTTCCGATTTGGAAAGATATTCCGATGACGGAAAGATATTTTCGCAGAGGTGCTCTTGTCATTGTAGAAAAGCACACCTTTAAGGAGTTTGCCAAGACGTTTAGCCACCAGCGGGTGTCCCCTGAAATTCAAGAATACCCAAGCCATCACCATGTCAGTTGACAGAACTGACTTGGAGATGTAAGATGTTTGACCGCGGTTTAGTCCATGACAGAACTGAGGATTTTACATTGAACAAAGTCAGGTTTTTCACACTCTTCACTGCACATGAGAGATAACGAACCTGGAGCGTTTCTATCAGGTGACCGAAGTATTGGATCATATCGCGACGGATTCCTTTGTCATGTCCAGTTCATGCCTCAAAATATTCTCTTGTATGAGAGATGTGTTGGTTATGTGACGTATTGTGCTTTGGCCATCATCAATAATGTCACGTATTTATTCAATATTATCCTTAGTTGTATTAATTAATAGTCTCCCTGGTTATAGGTACTTCTCGTGGCTCCCTTTCCCACGTCACACGTAACCTCTATAATCAGTAGTGGTGTTAGATACGAAAATCTCATTCTGACGTTTGATAGAGTATACAAACGACAGAATATGACGTAATATTGTGAAGCTATATCAACGTGCATGACCATCCAAATTTGCCTTTAATTTGATTGAACTTGTTACATGAATGAAACTGTTGTTTATTTACATTTAAGAACATAATCAGCATGGAGTGAAGGGTATTTCTTAAGTCTGTGCATATAGTTACACCGCCGAAGTGGGTTTCAAGATACAATTCCAAACAAGTTGGTGAATACACACCGGCAGCGTACATTGAAACAAAAGATGACCCCAATCCCTTCAGAATAAAGAAAATACAAAATGAAATGTTGCTGAAATATGTGGCCCAAATACAACCAGGTGTACCCGATAACCTAAAGCCAGTAAAGGTGTGAATAGCCCAAAATGGTCATAATGACGGTTACACACTTGGAGGGAAATGAACATGTAACACGGAGTATAAACATAACACTCATGAAACGTGCCAGCCAAGACAACAAGTTATCGAAGCAAGTCGACCCAACCGGGAAGTGGTATTAACACACCATGAGATCGAGTCTTCCTTGTTTGGTTATCATGGTCATTAGTGACAACCTTTATTGCACAGGATGAAGGTTTGCGTCACGTACTTCTGCTATTTCAGAGGGCAAATCAGTCAGGCTTACACCAAGAACAGCCAATCTTGGGGTTTTGAAGCAAACCTTTCAAGCAAATGACATCGGCTTTCCTCTAACCACATTCGGCTCACGTCATCTGTCGGCGACGTGCTGGACTCACTACTACTTCAGTTTGTACCGTTTTGGCACAGGGTTTACAGAACTTTGTTCTGACAATGACGTTAGACATGTCCAACTATCACATCAAAACGCAACGCATAAACTCGCTATAGGTTGGGAAAATGGAAACTGTATACAACGCAAAAGTAAATTGACATTTAAGTCAGTGTTGACATTATATTCGTTTCAAAACACATTTCTTTCCATTACCAGTTTGTCTCTATTTGCATGATTTGCTATTTGTGTATGTCATAATGTTCATGAGGCTGTGGCAGCAGGAGGAAACAACCAGTTAAAATGATTGCATAGAAGATAAGGCCGGTCACATTGACATTACTTCCTTGTGTAGTTATGTTACAACGTTTTATTAAATACATTACACACACAGACCTCTCGTTCAACAAATACACAGACAAACAGTGACATAATGTAACTACTTCAATTTATATGCAAGTTTACACACTGTCCCCACATGATAAACATTGCAAGTAGATAATGATTCATTCGCATAACACAACCAATAGTTTAACAATTAGGAGATAAACGTCATGTGTTGGCCAATTTCCGGGTGGTATTGAGTATTTGAAGCACGGGTCAGCCGGAGGTTTCAAATGAAGTATTCCCGTGCTTCAAATACTCAATAATGGCTTGATGACAAATGCCATCACATCCTAATTGCGTAGATAGATGCTTATGCTGTTGATGACTAGATTATCTGGTCCATATTCCACTATATACACCCCGTCGGCATATAACTGGAATATTGCTGAGTGTGGCGTTAGATAACAAACAAACAACAAGGTGCTGAAGGTATCCACCGTTTGACTCCACGTTTCTTCTAGTCAACTTTCCCCGCTATTCCACCAGCTCCAGCTTTTGTTATCATAATCTCACAACGTTTAAATCGAGCATTCTAGTTCTACACCGACAAAGTGTGACACATAACACTTAATTCAGTGCCACAATTTTCAAGTGCTCAGAGCGGCTTTCAAAAGGCTCAACATGTGCAGATGATAGATATCTCTTTCTTAAAGCACCGATTTCATGTGAGATTGAATTCGTCGTATTATATGAAATGTCGAAGTTCCAATTGTCATTCTCTGTCATAGAAATATCATCTTCATTGTCATGATAATTTACTGACGGTTGAAATGGTTTTAGAAATGCAACACCTTTTGTGAGGTCACTTATGCTTCAGGGGATATTGGGGCCCCTTTCATATTATGAAAAGAATATATTTAGAGTACAGGGAAGTAGTTTACGGTAGACCTCTTGTACAACACAGTATCTTTAATACCTTCAAAATGTACAATCAAGTCATTCAATCAAAATGAACTTGAACTTAAAGCGAGTGTACAAACGTTCCCCTATCATGTATTCCAACTGAGGCTAAATAGTCGCAGTTAACGACCCTCAACAATTATATGACGAAATAATGAAGGACAATGGACAAGAAGAATATACATGAAATACATTTCTGAACGTTATCAAGATTTTCAGGTTATGACATTTCATAGAAGAGAATCAACTCATAGTACTCATTAAACAGGGAAGACGTCCGCTATGGAAGCACTGTTGTACGCCCAATATCTTTGAAAAGGTTATCATTCAATCAGACTAAACATACGCATATGATATCTCAAAATATAACGAAAACCACATTGGCATTCTAGATCTCGATCCAGTGAAATAAGTGTTTGTTTGTTGTTGTTTAACGCCGCACTCAGCAATATTCGAGCTTTATGGCGGTGGTCCGTAAATAATCAAGTATGGACAAGACGATGCATTGGTTAACATCATCAGCATCCATCGACGCAGTTTGGATAAAATGATATGTGTCAACCAAGTCAACAGTCGGACAACCGGATCGCGTCAGTCGCCTCATACGACAAGCATGGATTTCTGAAGACAAGTTCTAACGCGCATCTTCAAAGGTATCCTGTGAAATGACGTAAGCAATCTTGATGCGATTGTACAAATTTTCAGCTTCAATTCAATTGCACATGGCAAACTTCATTATTCTATGAGCCTATAATTAAGAAAAAATATAGATAAACATGTACATGTGCGTATTTCATTCACCCCAACATTTTGAGACTGAATCGTGGCTTCTGTTGAGAAAGAGAAAGATGACATCAATTTTATCAAAATTGGCCAAGTGCAGCTGCAACAGACTTCAAAGTATTTTGCAACAAGTATTAAAGACACATATCTAGTTTTCAAAAGTATTCTTGCTGCCTAAAACAGTGTCATGGCCAAACCAGCCAAATGTTGGAACTGTTTCAGTGTCGTTGTAGTGATTTTGCGTCATCGGGACTGTCATAAGAAGTGATCAGTACATCACAAAAGACGTCTACTCATGAGTCAACACCTTGTCGTTTAGGTTATCTATTATTTACTCAATCTCTATAAGCCTGAAGGCACTTTGAACTCTTAAGTTGAAATTGTGTTATGCTGTGATTGTATATCATGGCCATGAGATTGCTGAAATGCAAATTATGGAAATGAATCTCTTGACAGGTGATCCTGAACTGACTATACTTCTGTCGAACTGGAATCCCGGGCGAATATTTCAGTTCAAGTTCCCAGTATCGACCATACAAAGTGTATCCGTAATCAACCCTGTGGCCATCGACTATGACCCTGTAGAGAACACGCTGTACTGGACAAATGATCAGCTCAAGCATATAAGCGTCACAAACCTCGCCACAGGCACATCTCGGATCATCCTGTCTTTGAATTCAAGTATGTTCTACCCATTCATATACTCCTCACAAAAATTAAGCAACAAGTATTTTCTTTGTAATATCTTTATCAATCTCAATAGCGATTTTTGCCGGCATGTTACTGAAAGGTACATGTTCAAAATACATAACCTTTAGTGACTGTCAAATTGACTTATCTGATAACATTGGCAACGTCACCCGCGAACACAACCACCCTCAGGAACAACATTTAAAAAGTGTAGCATATATGTGCTCCACTCTTCACACATGCACCCTGATCGGTGTTAAACCTACCTGTAATCATTCTGACTTCATTTTTTATGGATGATAATGCCCGTCCCTGGATGATAATGCCTGAGAAAGAGTTGTTAACGATGTTGTTTAGATCAACAACATCGCACAAAATGACTGGCCTGCAAGATCACTTGATCCTAATCCCATTGAAAATGCTTGGGACATTATTGGAAGTCGTGTTTACGGTCTCCGTGTTCACCCCCAGACTCTGGATGACCTTGAGCAGGCGTTACAGAGAGAATGGCAGAAAAATCCAAAAGGCTCATTTGGGCAATGCCAAGACGTGTAGAAACTGGCATTTGTGCTCATGGTGGTCATACGCGTTACTGAACACTGCTTCACTGTCCAAAACTGACTTGAATCTTAATGTTAACATTTTGCTCCATCAATGCAGCACATTTGGCACGACTATTTCACGGGTACATGCTTTTGATGATTTGTAAGTCTATTATTGCTCAATACCATTTCATTTCATTTTGCTTATCGTGTGTACATATGTTTCACCTTTCTATTGCATCATTCCATGATTTGCAATTTCAATAGATGAAAATGTAATGCGACTAACAATTTGTATTGCTTAACTTTTTGTGAGGAGTATATTTACCAATTTCCAGAGGAGACTCATTCATACAATTTTCACCGATATCTTTCGCCATTTGAATCTGTATTTAACTGATAATTCTGACTGGTTATTCTTTGACAATCACTTGTATTATTGCTGTTAGGGAAAAGAGTGGATTTCGGAATCTGGTATTAGTATACAACAGCGCCCGTGGTAGTTACTAGTATATATGAATGTTTGCAACAGGTGCAGTTCCTGACGGGATCTCCGTCGATTCATCTGCAAGAAAAATATTTTACACGGACTCTGGAAATGACATAATCGCTGTCAGGACATGAATAGCAGTAACCACGAAATCATCCTCACACAGGATCTTGACGAGCCCAGGGACATTGTTGTTCATGAGGCAAGAAGGTAGGTTACCATATCTTTTCTTTCCAATCGTCTTGTAAATCGAAAGAAATATACATGTATGTAATATTTACAATTAACTATTTTTTCAGGAGGATGTACTGGACAGACAGGGGAGCAAGTCCTCACATTTCCACAGCTAATTATGACGGAACTAACATAAGAAAAATAGTCTCAACCGGTCTGACGTGGCCAAATGGGTTTACAATTGACAAGAAAAGTTAGTTCTTCACTGTTTCACTAATTCATATAGTATCTATACTTCAAGAAGAATGCGTATCTGTCGTGTTTCTAATTTATTTATGTCATGAAAGTATATAATTGAGAAATACAATTGTTTAAGTGCATAAGAGTAGGAACCTTCTCAGAGTCAACGACACATTTTCTGACGGTGAAGGTTTAGGTTGAAAGTAACGTGTTTCCACAATATTCAGAATGAATGATCAATCATTCTTCAGTATCAGGTGTTTAAGTTTCAGGAGTCAAAATCAATTGCTGGACTTCTATAGACCATTTCTATCCTCCCGGCATGTAATGCGGGGAGTGTGTGTATTATTGTGTGGGGATATTGTCGACGCCTTGACCGTCTGTCCATCCGTCCGTAATCATTTTGTTTTCGGAGCATAACTCAAAAACCGTTCAATATTTTTTCAACAAAGCGTGGTAAAAACGTTTTGGACTTAGTCTTAAAAAATCATGTTCAACTTTAAGTAACTGTCAGATCATTTGCTGTTTTATGTTTGTTGGGGCCTTGGGGATTTGTCATCTTCTGATGACTGTTGTTACAATGTGTTGTTGTTTACTAATCTATTCTTTTAAATGATATCAACTCGTTTTAACGTTTACCTGCGATACTCGATACGTTCTACGCGATACGTGCATCACATTTATGCAAAGTGCTTTGCTACATTTTTATTTAGGGTTGATTTTATAATTCTTCAAATAGCTTTTAAAAGTTTTGTTTTATGCAATTTTATGTTATGCACAGTTACTTTTTTGCGCCAAATCCAGCTAGGCTGCTCACAAACGCTTTACATGTTCATAAAAGGACACGGACACTTCACAGCTATCCCAAATGGTATCTTCTTCACGTATATAGGCGGCCAATGGTGTTTACACTGAACTACATACAGTCACTGTTTTCAAATGCGCCCATAGTTGACATGTTTCGGCTAATAATTTCCCTTCAGCCTATGTATAACTTTATCAATGATCAGCTGTCCACGTTTCCCTTTCCACATCAGATGGAATTCTGTACTGGTGCGACGCCAAGACTCACACGGTAGAGTCCGTGTCTGTCGATGGAGCACAGAGAAAAATACTGGTGTATGAACCTGATGCTCACTACTTCAGGATAACCTACCATGATGGAGCACTCTATTTCACCGATTGGAGTAGAAGGTAGGAAAGACCAGTTGCATCCACGATATTGAAGTAACACGCAAGTGTTTTGACTGACGGTACGTGTTATCATTAGGAGCACTGTTACATTTTCATTGATAATTAGTTGTGGCAATGACACTATCGATAATAGGTATCACCATAACGTATTAGGATTGTAGAAAGGAACAGCGTAGATGAACTTGTCTTCATTTATTTTGGTGTTTTTCCACAGGGCAGTTCTCAACATGCCTGCTACAGGAGGCATTGTTGGACTCATGACCATAGGTCCTTTTACACAGCTTGCTGGCATCCGTGTCTTTTCAAACAGAAATTCCACAGGTAATACTGGCATTCTTGATATGATTATTCTGTATGTTTACGTTGAAATGAAATTTCAAAGCATGCAAGTTATGACACAAAGGTCCAACTATATGTTCCTGTCGACAACTGTTACATCGTTCAACAAATTCAACACACTGAAAAAATTGCAACTACAAAGGCAAGGAGGAATTATGAATGTATCACTTTAAGTGACACTCCATTGTCTTTTGAAGTGTTATAATGACGAATATGGAATCAATGCAAAGTACATTTATTATTCATAATCTTTGGGTGTTTTTGGGCACATATCGGCTGAGAAGACAGGTCTACATGTGCTATTGCGTTGGATGTCTTAACTATTATTGTTTATTTTTGTCTGTCTGTTTGTATTGTGCTCTCTGTTTTAACATGCCCTTTACCTCTGATGTACACACAAGTCCCTCTTGGGTAATGAAGTATTATCTTATCTTATCTTATCTTAAACTGTTGGTTTGGGGTGGTTTTTTAGAAGATGTAATGGTGATCGAGTGAGTTAAGGTTTATAGTCACGTCAGCAATATTTCAGCCATACTGTGACGTTAAAAAGTTCATATTCATAATGAACACAACTGAAGCACAAAACCCTGTCAACGAAGGACAGTAAAATAACTAGATTATCACAGATAGAGAATTAGCATATAACTGTAAAATTAAACAAACTGTTATGGACAATACAATATAAAAAACGAGCAAGAGATCACGAGCAATGTGAGATAGGTCGCCATACTAGGAACCATGGGGACTTACAGTACCTTTGCTACCTGCATGGACCCTAGCTTATAGCTTGAGAACTTTTAATATAATACTATGGTAAGTGTTGAGTCCCATCTGTAGTCAAACTACCGGTTGTCCGACTTCCATTTTGTGGAAGCCGCGGATGATTTTGTGTGCTGGCGATTAGGTGCCTGACTCTGAGGGTGTGGATTCGAATCCCTGATGGGACTAAACCAAACAAAAGTACTAGAATCTGTACTTCACTGAATAAGTGTAGTGGCAAATATAACAAATGTCAGATTTGACCACTTTCTGGCATTGTGTATTCACAACAAATCGCTTGCGATATCCAGCGATTCCCCGAACAACCTGTCGCTAACTTTCTGTTACCTTGCTCAAAGTAACAAATGGCGTGTCTTTGTGTGTGTTAGTGACTGATGTCATCAAGGTAACATTGTAAGCACCTGGACTCATTAATATTTGGATTTATAACGTTCGATGTTTATCGTACCATGAAATTTTAGGTGAAATTGCTTAATGAGGTTTTTGATGGTCGCTTGTATTTGGTGGATTTCTTTTTCACAAGAACCACACAAGGTCAAAAGTCAAGTATTGGACTCTCATCCTCTTTACTAAGGTTTTGACAGCATTGTGATCGATGTCTCACGTATCAGAAACTAATTCATCAAATGCGGTCAAATTTAAATGATGGCTAAAGATTTCAGCTGCGGCTACACTCAGTTGTACATGGTGATGAACAGTGCATCAAAGATCAATTTCTGTTTTAGGATGTCCTTCGGGCCAGTACGGCGAGGACTGTAGAGATTGTGGAAACTGCCAGAAAAGATCCGTCTGTGAAAAGACTACTGGCTGGTGCATCGGTGGATGTGCCACTGGTTACCAAGGGAACAACTGCTCGCAAAGTATGAAATTGTACCACCAAATTTACTCAGTTCCAACAAAGTATTTTCCAACAAGATCTGCTATTTTAATGGATATGTATTGAGATTGAACATAATGGAAAAACGAAATGTTCCAAAACTCAAACAAATTTTATCCTGATCCAGAATACATTTGATACTCACAACTCATGTTCTATATTTGCAAATAAATTGAAGTGCCTCTACATACACCATAACACAGTATTCCACTAATTGAAAGTATTCTAACAAGAACAAACATATTTTAACTTAATTCAGCTTGCTCATAGTACTATCAAAATATCGTGGGCAAAAGGGTTTTATTTCCAATGTACAAAGGTCATGGGTTTTTAATTTGCAAATACATGGGAATGTCAAGCATCCCAAGTAGGTGAAACCGATAGTTGGTTGCAGGGAATGTAATGTATTTATACCTATTTGGGTGTTCACTTCTTTTGCATCAGACCATGGATGTGAGATCTAATTGGTGTATGGGAGAGTGGGCGAGTGAGTTTAGTTTTACGCTGCACTCAGCAATAGCCCAGCCATATGGCGGCGGTCTGTAAATAATCGAGTCTGGACCAGACAATCCAGTGATCATCGATCTGCGCAATTGGGAACCTATGACATGTGTCAACCAAGTCAGCGAGCCTGACAACCCGATCCCGTTAGTCGCCTCTTACGACAAGCATGGGTTACTGAAGATCAATTCTAACCTGGACCTTTACGGGTTAATCGGTGTATGGGAGGAGAAGTGGCGTCACAGATTTGTTGAGAGCTGCTTTGGCTGCACCACCAACCATTGTGTTACTAACGATTACAACATAACTTAACAAACACAAGACGATGTCATACTGGACCCGGTTGTATCAAACGTTAATGAAGCATTAACGTGCCATTAAACGTTCATTAACTAATGTATCATTAAATTCTGTTGTACTAACGTAATGACGCTCTAATGACAACAGAGCATCTTTAAACTTCCTGGAAAAGTGAACATTGCTCCAGAATTTCGTTTGCGCCGCACTGGATCTACCTGCAGCTATAAAATTACACAGAAATGTAGAGTATTAAATGTCGTATCTCATGGTATAAACTCAGTTTGAAAAGTAGACACTACTGAATGTTACTCCTAATTTTGTAATGCGTTAAAACAGTCAATTTCTCTGCTTTTATCGTGCACTGATAAAAGTACTGTGCTACTATATTTTCAATTTGTCATCTTTACGGAAAAATTCTGCCTGATACCTGAATGACATAGGTATGTGTTAAATTAGCTTATAGTTTGTGTGCTTATGTATAACGTTATACACTCAATCTTAAAAGTGACTCGCAATATGTGTTGAAAATGGATTTTCCCCTATGACGTCAAATGGTTACATAAAGGTCACACGCTTATAAAGATAAGGGGCCTCACTCCGGTATGCTTAATACTAAGTCATTGTAACTCAGATCACTTGGCGAGAATTTGCTGTGAATAAGGACACAATATTTTCGTGATGTTTTGTTCACGGAATTATCATAAACAATGATACTCAAAACATTTGTGACAAACGCGCACCTGGCCAATGATTATACGCCATTGTTTTGTCTATAACACAACATAAACAAATTCAATGAACAAGACATATCCTTTAAAAACGTGTGCATATACACATTTCATGAAATAAATAAATCATTTTTATTTATTATGTCAGTTTTACTTAGGTTTAAAATACTAACTGTTGATAATGAAATTAGTTTCACGAAACCATATGTGAACGATACGCAAAGTATACATTAATAATACAAGTATAATCCGCAGGACAGTGTGATTGTGTTTACCGACCTTCACCTCAAAGAAATTGCCACATATGTCCAACAATGTTGATGTATGACATCACTACCGATGACCGATTTCTCATGAAATGGCGGCTTTGTGGATATGGGTGCCCACGATTTTGCGAGGGAACCTTTATCCATAAATGTATGATGTAAGTAATCGGAAACATTCTGACTATCTGCGTATGGTTTTGTTTTATTGTTTTCATTGAAAAAAGTCAGAAATGCCGATAATTGCCTATGTCGTTCTCCATGATTTTGCGTCTCGCATGGCCTCACGCCACACAGAACTTTCGTATGAACATATCAAATTTCAGTATTGTATCTGTTTGGAATTTGATTCTAAAATGTATTAGGAATTCAGCGATGCATTTGTCACAACTGAATATGAAATATACATGATGTAATAGGCGTCCTATGACTGGCCTTAGCGAAACTTGATTTTGTAAACACTATCCAATATGGCGGAAAGCTCACTTCGTGTTCGTGTATATTCCAAAACATCCCAACCGATTCTAGGTTTATCGGCGACGTTTCAGAATTATTTAGACGTGTTTCTTCACAGCAGTCGAAATGTTTGTTTTTGTTCCGAGGTTTAGCCCTAAAGATGCCATTTTGACAGACGACAGGTAATAACACTTACATGTTTACAGCGCAGAATTGTGGGGAAAAAATAGGGGAATCCCCGGATTTAATGAAAATATTTACATTAGGACGTCATTAGATAATGATACGCTAATAAGTGTTTGAAACAACCGTTTTTAATGATACCATTAACTAATGATGCATTAAGGATTTAATGTATCATTAGGGTTTAATGTTGACATTAGTTAATGAAGCAATGATACAACCGGATCCGTGTCAATAGCAAGGGTGTTCTATGATTCAATGTTGTCAAGTAAAACTGGATGCTGACACGAATTGATGTTAGAAGCCTGGAGACAGGAGATGTAGTCTGAAAACATATTGAATTCCTTATGTTTAGACTGTTTACTTATATTACATTGTAACCCTATCTATATATGTTTTGCATATGATCTTTATGTCAGTTTATCATTTAATGATATCCGTTGCATTGTTGTTAGTTTGTTCTTCCGGAACCTACGGCGAAAGGTGTGCGTTGACGTGCGGCAACTGCACGGAAACAACATGTAATCATGTCAATGGTACCTGTCCGCTGGGGTGTAACGCCGGATGGACTGGACACGACTGTAAAACAGGTTTGACCACTCCTACTGATAGCTAACTGAAACATCGCAGTATTATGCGATACTTGGTAACCACATTAAATTTTCATGATCATAAACGTCCCAATTGTTACCACAGGCCCTCGTGTCCTTGCGAAGATTAACGATTTAAAAATGTTTTTTAGATGATCCCCGACTCGAAATGCTACACAGTACAATCTGTATTGTACTGTGAAGCATTCGAGTCGAGATCATCTCAAATGTTATATGTTTTTTAACATGTTTAATCCTCGCAAAGACACGAGGGCCTGTGATTGTTACGGCTGACTCCAAAGTACACACAAGAATTTCATGAAAACTTCTACAATGATTAATCAAAACTATTTAAAAAACAAAACAAAGGCTTCCAATTACCACATAATAATTGTCATGCACTTATGTAGCACACAAAGACAATAATATTTCTTAAAACGATTGTAAAAGGGTAATTGTGTTTACTTATCTAGCGTTGCCAAGATGCCCGACCAATACCTATGGTCCCGGGTGTTCTGCCTGTGGGAAGTGTGCTGGAGGTGTCTCTTGTAACACAGTGTCAGGCGTATGTCCAGCTGGATGTGAGCTAGGTTGGAAAGGGGACACCTGTGAGATAGGTAAATACGGTGCCATACATAGCACAATTCACGCTCGCCCATTTCACCTGTTTAACATCGATACACAATTTAGCGTAACGTCCAAAAGTTTTAAGGTTTCTGCTAATTTAATTGATATGCTGTTGTTGCTGATTTGATTTTGGTGTTTGAAATATATTTGTTTCATTTTGAATGATACACATTTTTCTCTGGTCAGCGTGTCTTCCGAATACCTACGACGCCTCCTGTGACTCCTGTGGTCAGTGTGCAGCTGCTGTACCCTGTGACAATAGCTCCGGAGTCTGTCCGGCTGGTTGTCAAGATGGCTGGACAGGCTCCCTGTGCAAAACAAGTAGGTAAACATACTTGTAAAGGTCAATTGTGTATTTTATAGTGTACAAAGGAGTGCCTAACACCAACGTATAGTCTGTGACGTGCATACTGGATATCGGCACTTATTTCAAGACTATGAACATTTGCACCTCGACCGAATGTTGTCCATTCAAAAGCGTCTTCAATATTACTAGGTTTGGTCCAAAGAAAAGATATTCACGAGGGACTATATCTTCATGAACAAACGTTTGCAATCGAGTCACAATAAGTACTGAACGCCATAAAAGTGCATGTCGTCTTAATAATGTATTCGTTATCCCGATTCATAAGCGTTGCCCTATCATGAATAGGAAAGATGATCGTTGAGATCTTGTATTGATCCATCTGTTGGGTTTGTAACCAAAGAAAAGAGGGTGCTGCTTATTCGAACAAATTCATTCTGCAGTGACATCGCAGCAAGCTCTTCCGCTCTGGTATGTCTCATAACAGGTTATAACGGTTCGTAGAGCACAACTGTCGCTTACAAACTGTTGCAGCAGCATTGTTCCTCATCATTGTTGTAACATGTCCATCTACTTGGGCTCAATTGAAAGTGAACAGCGTATGTAAACGCCATGTCACCATGGAGCTGAAAGATTTTGATGACAGAGTTTCTACTCATCCAGTTTTAGTCTACTCCCGGTTGTCCAAGTCTTAACATTAGAGGCACGTTAATTACCCTCAAATGCAATATCAAGAGTTAATGTCATTCACAAGCAGAAATATATTGGATAATACTCTGTCTTACGTTTCTGCCAAAATATTGAGCAACGGCATATCTTCTTATTGGCCTTCGATGCCTGTAGAGTAAACAACAGAGGTCCCAGGGCAGACTTGCACGACAGGCAATTTCATGAATGCACAACTACATATCTTGCGTTATGGATAGGAAGGAACATGTTGCACATCTATCCCAGTGTAAAACAATGCGATCTTTTCCATTCCGATTCTGTCGCATTGAAGGTCGCAGATCAGACTGTTTATATGTGTAAGTGTTCTTGGTTAAGTAATAGATTTTAAAAGTTACTAATAACAGTCTATAACATTGCCACTCTCTACAGGGAATTCCAGCCTGCATCATAGGCATTTTTGGATTGCTTGTTATTCTGGAAACAAAAAGGCCCCTTCCACGTAACTGTGTTTTACTCAAAAACATGCAATCGAAATAATTACACATACAGTCAGCTTTGTTTCCTTTTTTATCCATATATATATAGTGATTCAATACATGTGTGTGACGTGCAGTTATATGAAAAGGCCTGCTTCACCATCAACAAACAACTGTACACTTCATTCCTAGGAAGTTGTCTCCCTTGATTCGTCTGCTGACAACCTCTCTCTCAGTGACCTATGCGAGCAGGGCGAGGTTGTACAAAGAGGTCTTAGCACTAAGATGGCCATAACTCTCATACCTTAACATAGACTTAAGTTAGTCTGAAGCGCTAAAAGGTTGTTTTGTACATCGGCACTATGGCCATGAAGATACCAAAGCTCAGGTAACCAGCAGGCATATTTGTTTCCATCTATCGTATGGCGTCAATATATGACGGTGTGGAGCTGTTCACTTATCTACTGGAAAAAAAGTCCATGTTTACAAGCTTGGAAATGTCTTGGAAAGATGATGTTTCCAGACATTTCCAATTTTGTAAAGATGATGTTTCCAAGACATTTTGGTTCTGGAAAGATGATGTTTCAAAATTTACAATTCAGAAGGGAGATAACTTTGGTGGGTGATGGTAGAATTGTTGTTATTTGCACGCCCAGGACCTAATCCTTTGGCTGATTGATGAGTGAATCAAAGGCGGTTAATAGTCACCAATTAACAAGGCCTACTGCTTTGTTAAGTTTCAAGTTTATGCCTCTTAAAGCCCCTGGAAATTGAGTTAAAATGCTTTGATGGGCATTAAGAAGTGGAATGCATTACTGTGACCTGATTTTCTGCATGATGAAGGAGCAAGCATATGCTCTCCGAGCTTCGTGTTATTCACAATAAAGAAGTTGACATCCATAAATCTTGCTTTTCTTGTATTAAAAATGGAAGTTATTAAAATCTGCTGAGCTGTAGGCTTGTTAATCATGTCACTGATGTGATTATCGCTCTAACACGCCTAGAGAGATTTAAATCAACAGTGTGGTATGCACAGGCAATGAAACTTGTATTGTATTACATTGGGTTGAAGTTTGCATATTGTTTTGCCAATGCACGTAGCG